GGCAACAGCAGCTTAAGCCAGTGCCAACCAGCAGCGGCCCGAGCGGAATATCTGCCTCGGACAAGAAGGTCCAACAGGCAGTGGCAGCGATCCAACCAGAGTCTGATGTTGCAATGGAGTCACAGCTTGAAGCCAGAGTTGTCCAATTAGAGCACCAGCTGCAACAAGTCCAGCACAGCCAATCAGATGTTGAGAGAAAAGTCGCACAGATTGAACACCATGTCCAGCAGGTCCAACACTCCCAGGTAGGTGTTGAGGCGAAAGTCACCCAACTGCATACCCAGCTGGACCAACAGAATATCCAAATTGGCCGCACTTTGGACGCAAAGCTGAGTGAACAGATGGACAAAATCGAGGCCCTGCTGTCCAAAAGGGGCAGGCACGAATGACTATCCCATGATGCCGAGATCAATTATGAGGACTTTGTCAAGCCAAGCCGACCGGCCCGGAAAGCCAAATCCTCATCTGCATGCCAATATCCACTGGCGAAGCCAACAGTGGTTAACCGAGTTCCCAGATTCATCCGTCTTCTACTGACAGTATTTGTAGTTCATTTTAGGCAGGGGAGGCCGCAAACCCAGGCCCTGAGACCTTTGGAACGATCAATCCCACCGGCTTGATGGGAAAGACAGCTGACCTTGCAGCACTGTCCAGGTACAGTGCCACCATGGCGGTGCAGGAGACGCATCTAACAGGCCAAGGATTTGGACGTTTCAAAAAGGAGCTTGCCTGGCAGAAATCAGGTTTCCAGATGACCCACGGCGCACCAGCGCCGCCAAAGAATCAGTCCATCAAAACGCTAGGAGGAAAACAAACAGGTGTCGCTTTCTTGAGCCACCACGCGTTGAGAAGTTTGGCACATCACTGGTCCTCAGAGGACTACGCAACAGGTAGATGTTTAGCCACTGCAGCCTTTGTTCAAAAAAGATGGATAACAATGGGTACGGTATATGGTTTCAGTGAAGGTTCACACTCCATAGAGGTACAGCAGCACACTGACAGAATGCTGGCCGGACTATCCAGCCGGATTGTCGAAGCGGCCCATGGCCTTAGGATGATCGGTGGAGATTGGAATCTAGATAGGTCATGTATTCCCCAAGTAGACCAGTGGGAAAACAAGGGATGGGTTGAAGCGCAACACCTTGCGTACCTGAAATGGCAAAGACCTTGCCAGCCCACCTGCAAAAAGAAGACTATCAAAGATTACCTCTTTCTCAGCCCAGAATTCCTGCCATATGTGCAGGATATCCAGCTTGACAGCACAACCTTCGCCGACCATGCAGCGATTTTGGTAACAGTTAGTGATCTTGATAGACCACCACTTGTACCCCTATGGAGAAAACCCAAACCTATAATTTGGCCACCAAAAGTTAACCACGCAGATTGGGAGACCACAGTACAGCATCTTGATGACTCAGATGAATGGTATCAATCACTTTGGCATGATGTTGAATCTTTCGCCAACCAGCAGTGTAAGCAGCAGCAAACCCCAATTCCACAGCAGCACCAATTGGGAAGAGGAAATACCAAAGACACTACGTGGTCCGATAAAACCATAGCTCCTGTAAAACCCAACAGACGTGGTGACATCCAGTCAGAATTTGCCGGTGCAAACTTGACCCACTCCAGGTGGACAAAGCAAATCAGACGTCTCCAACACTTCACAAGATGCACAGGAGACACTGAAGTGAATGCCAGCATGATGGAGCATCGAGCCAGCCTTTGGAGAAAGATCCGACAAGCACCCGGATTCCACCAAGGTTTTCCAGTTTGGTGGGCAATGCAGGTCAAAATTTTTCCAAACACCCCAGCGTTGCTGCCAGTCACCCTGCCAGATCTTGACATGGCAAATGCAATTTTCCTTGAGTTTTCCAAACACGAACGTACCTTGGAACAAAGCCTGCAGAAAGCAAGAATCATCCACGCCGTCCAACGGCGAAGCCAGGATCCGTTGTTAACCTACAAAGATATCCAGAGAGATAGAGCCGAACCGGTCCAAACTGTCATCCAGACAACAAAAGTGCCTGTTTTGTCGGTTGAGCCCACTGGTGACGCCGTCAGCATTCGCCTTGCCCAACCATTGCCTGACAGCATCCAAACCATTCCAATCAAGGGATTCCAGTTGCATTCAAACAACTTGAGCCAGACCACATCAGTATGCCTGCGGAAGTTGCACAGCAAATCCCAGAAAACTTAGAAGTCCAAAAGCTTGCTTCAGCATGCCTTCATTGCAGTTGACAATAGGAATAAATATTTGGTGTACTACTTTTTTGGCAATCATATATCTGCATAGCTGTGAGTGTTTGCTTTTCAGTTTGGGTCCGCATGTGACCTGCACGACCCTTTGATGAACGCGCCTTGATTTTCTGCTGCCTCTGCCTGAGTTGCGCAGTTGTTGAGTCATGCCATTTTTGAGTTCTATTGCATGCAAGTGCGCGGTGAAAATGAAATTGGTGATATCAATGGGTCAATGGGGTCAAGGGTAAAAAAGGACGCAAAAATGGCCGTGAAATGATATTGAAACAAAACTATTCACCAGTGGATGGAATTGGATTTCCCCCAAGTGTTCAGACCGATGTCGGAAAATGTGTGAAGCTTGATTTCGGGGGTGAAGTGTTGTTTATGAGAATGGGATTTGCCTTCTTGTCGCTGTTTGATGGAATTTATCGGCCACAAATCCAGAGAAGGCCGAAGGAAAGCAGTACCTGTACGAAGTAAGCAGCTGCAAACACGTGTGTTTGGTTAACTCCCCATGATTTTTTTTTGCTCCAATCGCCATGTTAGCTCTCCATGATTTTGCTTTTCAAAATGGGCATTTGTTGGTGGGCTTCGGCCTCGAAGCGCGCAGCAGCTGCGATTGAAGGTAGCCTGAATTTTATCTGGAGCTAGTGAGCACCACAAGCAGAGGCACCAACGCTATGCCTGTGGCTGTGAGATGTGAAATCTGACAACCGTATTAACCGTATCATCGACTCAGACTCTGCATTTGGCTCCTTGAGAGGTGCGGTCCCAAACCCATCCCTAAAACTGTCGAGTTTTGAAACAACTTTCAGTAGGTGATGACAGAATAGTTGTTGGTGGTTTGAAAAATGCAGCACAATTTTTCGATTTTAGTCAAGCATCCATCATTTTCCCATCATTTTCCATCCTTTTTTCCCCTTTTTAATCCATTTTCATCATCATTTTCATCATCATAGTCCAGAACTTGGGGATACTTGGGGTGTCCCATGAGTATCCCATCCATTTGGCCGGATGACTTCGCCGTGGTGACGGGACGCGTTTAGTGACGCTCGTGACGGTTTTGTGACGGTGGTCTCTTGCGGCTGAGCTGGTGAGTTGTTCTGGGGTGGATTTTCATGGAACGGGGCATGCTGGATTTTGCTTGGGTTAACATATATATATATCATATGTATATATATATATCATCTATATTTATATATATCACATATATATATATATGATATATGTATATATTATACAAATATAGACTATAGATGTAAAGAATAAACACACATATCACATATATTCCATGACGTTTTCATGACATTTCCTTGTCAATGCCTGGGCACAGGTCCAAGTCAAGGCAACAGGTTTAGAGTTATCAAACACGGTGCTTCGACATCCCCTCGAAAACATCCATATGCCACGAATTGCAGAAACGTCATCTGTAAATGGATATATCATATGTGTCTATCTATTGATTATATATAAATAAATAAATAAATAAACAATTAAATAATAAAATATCATGCCGTAATTTTGGATTTTGAATTTGCAGATTGGATTCGCCACCACGAAAAATGAACGGGTCAGCCACCAGATCAGAAACTGCGACGGTGTCGCCTCAGGGCATCGGCCATGATCGCTCCAATCATGGTGGTGTTTCCCCATGGTCTTACTATATGATTAATGGGTTTCATCAAATGAAACATGGCTTGGTTTATCATTACTATATGGTCTTACAGTACCAGAGATGCTGTTGAATGGTGTTGATAGATATATATATATATCTATATATATATATCTATATATATATATATATATCTATATATATATATATCATATATCATATATCATATTCATACCAGATCTGGTGGTTTTCATGGTTTTCATAAAATGGTCCCGCATTCCATGGTGCCCAGGATGCTCCCTGGTGTTTTTTTCTGGTGCCCAGGAAGCCCAGGAAGCCCAGCCAGAAAATTTTGCCCATGGCACGCGGCAAGAGGAAGCAGAGCCATGGTGAAAATTTGGGCGAAATCATGGGGAAAATCGATGGGAAAATCATGGGAAAATGATGATATCATGGGATATAGATGTCAAAATCGATGGGAAAATAAAATGGGTAAAAGAACGAGCAAAAACACATGATACAGACAGTGAAGAATCCATGACATGATTGTTTTTTATTCAAGCAGTCATGTAATGAAAGCGGTTTATCTGGTGAAGCAAGATTCGGATGCGTATCAGCTGGCTGGCTCAAGGTTAGACTGTGTAACTTGAGTTCAACGACAGTGCATCAATGTTCTTCATGTCAATGTCCAATTGCAGGTTCACAACATGTTCTTTCTTTTTGAGTGCATTCAACTTGCCCGGGGGATCGTAGATGAGCCATGGATGCTGATGAGAACTCAGCTTGCCTTAAGGGCTTGCGCAGGAAGTGGCAGAAACCATCGCATGGCAATGTAGGAGATGCCATTTTACATGTTGAATCTGTAGATGAGGATGTTCATGTTGTTTCACATGATTGCCCCAGAGTTAGTTCAAGCCTTGTGCCGCCTGGTGGTGACGCGCAATCAGTTGGAGCCTTTGCACTCCCTGACAGTCTGGATCTCGGTTTTGGACCTCAGCCGCAGCATGAAGATGCGTCTACAAATTATGAACCTTCATTTGCACCAACTACTGATGTAGAGTTGGACGTAGGTGGAGTGAGTTCATTTGCAGATCACAACGCTGCGGTGCCAGACTTATTTATCAGGAGGGCAAGGCTTGCAAACATTACCATGCCTTGGGAGACACCTTTGATGCGTGGAATCTTTGGAGAGACAGGGCCGAGTGTTAACCTCAGTATGCCGTTGGACTGGGGAACAGCTGATTTACCTCTGTCTGGATCGGCTGAACCATGCCCTGCAGAGCCCATCATTCCTTCCCAGTGCAGGTGGTCCTGTGCCCAGTATGTTTTGCATAAGTCCGATGAAACGTACTTGCAACAGAAAGACAAGACCATGAATGGAGCACTTGCAAAGTGGAAGTTCTTGGTTTTGACCGATACACGTTTCTCAGAAGTTGGCAGACAGTTGGTAGATGCAGATGATGAACAGATAGCTCTGGTGCTGACCTCAGTCATGGGAGTGAAGTTGCCCAACATGGTGTTGAAGAGGGCAGGAGCCATGATGATGTATTACAGGTGGCATGCAAGACATGGAGTGGAAAATTGGTTGCCATTCGATGAGAGCATGGTGTGGCAGTATGTGATGTATCAGTCTGCAACTTGTGGGGCAGCGTCACGATCTCAAAGCGCTTCGGTTCTCGCACTATGTCATGGGTTTTGACAATGCCTTGCACTGCGCAAATTCCAGGAGAGTTGTTGGCCAGGCACAGTTGCAGTTGTCCTCAAAGGCACCCACACGTCAGGCCAGGCCTCGTACGGTGTTGGAGGTGAAGGCATTGCATGCGATTGCAGATGGAGTAAGCCACTCAGTGGTTGATCGATGCATGGCGTCGAACTTGCTGTTAGCACTTTATGGAAGATGCCGAGTCTCTGACTTGAACTTCGTACATGAAATTTTGCATGATGTTTCTGGAGGCTCAGGGTTCTTGGAGGTATCGACCAGGTACCACAAATCTGCAAGGTCGGCTCAGCAAAAGGCGCTGTTGTTGCCGATTGTGATGTCTAGCAGTGGTGTCGCAGATCTGCCGTGGATCCATTCATGGATATCAAATCGAAAAGCCTGCGGCCTTGCAACTTCTGGACTGGTACAAGGTGCTTTGATGCCAGCACCCTGCTTAGGTGACAGGGTAGCCTGGATGAAACGCCCGCTGTCGCCCGGAGAGGTCACAAACATCCTGAAGGGATTCCTCTCTAGTGATGACCCGGCTCTTTCCAGTCACAGCCTCAAGGCCACCACTTTGAGCTGGGCATCAAAAGCAGAAATCCCACGCGAGCAACGTCGCATTTTGGGGCGACACAGTTCAGCAGTGCAATGTGCAGACTCTTACTACAGTCGAGACATCAGCATTGGGCCCGTGAATTCCTTGCTGAAAGTCATCAACATGGTCAAAGATGGCACTTTCATGCCTGATGCCTCCAGAGCAAATTACTTTCCTGCAGGTGGCGGCAAGTCGTCGAGCATACCTGCCCATGTGGTCATGCAGCCGTTCACACCGGCATTTTTGGAGAGGGGACAGCCTGCCACTCCAATGGGGCCCATGGGTGTGCCTGGTGCAGGGCGTGGACAACCTACAGTGTCTGCGCCAGTTTCGCCGGCAGCCGTGTCGGATGTGAAGAGTGAGACGAGCTGGAGTTGCATTGGTGCCAAACAGGGCCTTGGAGTGATTGAGCTGTCGTCTGACTCCGATACGGAGAGCTCAGAAAGCAACAGTGTAGCAGGATCTTCTGATGAAGATGATGCCATTGACCTTGAGTCGGAACCTGAAGGTGACGGTCGTCATGCTGGACGTGATGAATCAGCTCATGGCATCGTTGCCAGGAACACCAAGACAAAGGTGGTACATGAATGCAGAGACAAGTCATGTGTGGGGTTTACTTGCCAAGACGACTTCATGAGGTCAATGGAAGGGAAGCTCACATTGTGTGGCAGGATGGTCACAAAGAACTATGGTTTGATTTGCGGTGCCTTCAATTGGACGGCAAAGTGCAGGGTCTGCTCCAAGGGACGCAGAGACCCAAACATGTTGGACTGATACGTCAAGAAAAGATGTTTCACCTGCGCTGCGTTTCACCGTGTCCGAGCCATGCAGCAAAAGAAATGTTTGCTACTTTATATGTTTTCAGCGGTGAATGTGCAGATGTCTTCAACCTGCTGACACGTCATCACATGTTTTGATGTCTCCTCATGCCCCATGCGCTCATGTGAATGTCAGAGGTTCTCTCTTGGGAATGAATGTTTGTTTTGTGTTATTTGCGGAATATCTGAAGCCAATGTGGCAATTTCGGCAATGTGCCAAACAAAGAATGCGATGAGCATTCACCACGATGTGTGGATATCCGCAGCGATGTGCTGAGGGGACATGTGCAAAAAGCTGACTGTCAGCACAGCAACTGATGATTGTTGCAGGCGTCATGTAAATCTGTGTCGACCTGATGGAGGGGTTGCAGATGATTTGAGACTTATGCAATGCAACTTAAGTTGTTTCCTTTTACTTTGCAGTCTCTGTGGGGTCATCCTTATGAAGGGTTTGAACTGGATTTGTGAAAGAGGAACATGTTTATACTTTCTCTTTTAGATCTGACTGACCATTGCTGCCATGACATCCGTCGTGGATTCACGTGCCCATTTTCTGAAAAGATGCAGAGACATGGGGATGACAGAGCGGGCAGTTAACAGCCTGACAACTGGAAATTTGGACACGATGGGTAAGTTAGCATTTGCCTCCATTGGATGCTGCAGAGTTTGGAGTGTTCGCTCAGAACATGCTTGGAGCGATGATCAATCAGGCTGATACAGCCGTACTCAAACGTTTAGTGTTTGAGGGGCACACCCTAGTTCTTGGACAGCTCCGAGAGTTGGTGACAGATCCGAATGCAGCAGCCTCCCGAAAGCTCCCGGCAGTGGAGCGAGAGCATCGCATGACGGAGCTTCGTCAGAGGTTGGTAGGGGTGGTCTGAGAAAAACAGCTTGAGCCATCACATGAACTCTTAGAAGCCATGATGCAACAGAAAGAAACCAATCAGTTGAATTTTGTGCAGTTGGAACGTTGTACATCCCGTGATTGGGAAATCACGATGGGGAAGAACAAGAAGCAGTTGGCTTTGGATTCTGAGAAGTTGATCATAAAGGAGAAATCAGACATCCCGGACCAATTCCATAGCTCAGAGCTGCAAGCCTTCGAGGCGCTCCGCAGACGGGGCGTCGCAATGACGTTTGCTGACATGATTTCTTGGGAAGCTCATGAGAGGTACTTGCAGCAGTTGACATCACATCTCCGTACAGAACCGCCTCCCAACTTCATGAGACCTACTTTGCCGCAGATTCTCAAAGCGGATAGGCAAGTTTTCTTGTACCTCATTCGCATTGGTGTGGACCTAAAGCGTCAACCAGACAACAGCCTTCAGCTTGATGACAAGATCTTCACTGCCCTTCAGTCCTATGAGGTTGGTTTCCACCTACTCCCTCTTCCAAAGGCAACACAGCCAGCGGAGAAGCAGAGTCAGCCAGCAGCTGGACCTTCATCATATGGTGGAAACAAAGGCAATTGGTCTGGAGGAAGACCCCAACCGTACAAGGGAAAAGGTGGTGGTCATGGCAAAGGCAAAAGCAAAGGAGGGCGGTCGGTGCTGCCCACATTTTTACTTGGGCTGACAACACCAACATGGATATGCATGGAAGGCGATTGTGCTTCAACTATCAGATGGCCAAATGCACTGACGCCCCAGACGGAGGAGAATGTCCCCGTGGGTGGCATCTGTGCAGCCGCAAAGGCTGCCATGCGCCGCACCCAGAGCGCGATCATGATCACAAGAAGAAGTGACGTGTCAAAGGCCGCATCAGCTCCCTAGTGGAATCGGGTTTGGGCCTCAATGAATGTTTGATAGTTGAAATCTTTGCGGGCACTGGAAGAGTTACAGCTGCGCTGAAGCATTTGGGTTTACATAGTTCTTTTGGAACAGACCATGTGCGACCTAAGCATGCAGTTGCTCCTATAGTGTTGGCAGATTTATCAACTGAAGCTGGCATCGAGTTGTTGATGCAGCGGCTCTCAAATCCCAATGTGGTTGGAATTTTCCTGGCTCCACCGTGCGGGAGTGCCTCAAGGGCAAGATCAATCCCGGTTAAAGGAAAACAACCTGGCGACCCAGAACCACCTAGGCCGCTACGGCCAAACCAGTACCCAAACGGGTTACCTTTTCTTTGCTTTGTTGACCGACTGAAAATTTCAAAGGCCAATAAGCTGTATCACCTCACAGCAAAGCTGATACAATGGGCAGTTGAAGAAGATTGTCTTTTTGTTGCTGAGGACCCGCAATTCAGTTTCTTCTGGCAAACCAGTTTTATTCAAGCAGTCGTTGGACTCATGGATTTCAGAGTTTTTCAGTCATGCCAGTATGGCAGCTCACGCCCAAAGCGCACAATGCTTGGTTTCAACGCGGAAGAATTTCAATGTCTCAATAAGATGTGCCCTGGTGTCTCCAAGACTCACAAGCATGAAAAATGGGGACTGTCTCCTTTCACCAACCAATTTACCCCTTCAAGCTGGCAAAATCAATAGCACTGCAGTTTGTTTTGGCGTTGAAACGTAGGGGCATTCAAATGCTCCCCGAAACCCTTGCGGAGATCTCGCAATTTGACGCTGCCTTTTTGTCATCCCTGCGCAAACAAGTGTTCAAGCGAAGGCCTCAAAACTGCCGCCACTGACTCCTACATACTCTGCAAAGTTGGCAGTCACAGCCTTCAAATCAGATTTGCCGCAAGTGGAAATTAGATACAAAGTTTCCACAGTTTTACATGTTGCTGCGTATAACGCGCCCACAGCCTTACCGAAAGGCGCCAAGCTTCTTTTCACAACAAATGCTTTACTTCCCTCCGAATGTTTGCAACGGGGGGCTTTTGTCTCCGGTCAGCAGATGCAGCAGGAAGAAGTTGACAGGGTTGTTAAACTATGTGGCGACTCCCCCATTCACAAGACGGGTGTGACTGAAACCCAGGTTTGGGGGATACCTTGGAGTGAGAAACAGTTCATCGAACAGATGGTACGTTTTGGACACCCTATGACCTTACAGTCAAACCTACCTGAGATCCTGCGCGACGCAGTAGGGCTTTACAACTCTATGGATGCACAGCAGAGGATGGCCTACAGAGCAAACAAGCTTGGTTTTTGGCTAAGAAGGTTGGTGGAGCTTAAGTTTGATGAAAAGAAGTTGAAACAGACGCTGGATTCCGAAGTTGCCCAAGTTTTGGAGTCGAAAAATATCCTCCTCTGGAAGGAGATGCTGGAGGCAACACAGCATCCGGACATGAATGTTGTCCAGGAGTTTATGAATGGTTCTGAGCTTGTTGGGTGCGTGCAGAAGACGGGACTATGGCCTGCGAAGTTCCAACCTGCGTCTATTGGAGTGGACGAGTTGCATCAAGTGGCCATCAAAGAGCGTGCATTGTTTGAACAACAGTTTGGGCAAGGCAACCAGGAACAGTTTCTTGAAGAAGTTTGGACGAAGACTTTGGAAGAGGTCGAATCTGGCGTTCTTGCAGGCCCCTTTTGTTTGAACGAGGTGCCAGACCAGTACCCACTGTCTCGACGCTTTGGGATTGCCCAGGGCGCCAAGATACGTTGCATTGATGATTTCTCTAGATCCAGCATGAACAGTGCTGTCCAGACTTGTGAAAGGCCTAAGCCACACACCTTGGATGTCTATGCTGCCTTGTGTGTTTTTGTGATGTCTTCAAACAAGAGATCCAGAAAATGGCTTGGGAGAACCTTCGACTTGACTGGAGCATACAGACAGTGTGCAGTGCATCCTTCATCCAAGCCTTACGCACACATTGCTGTGAGGCATCCTTTGACAAGGGAGATCCATGCGTCTCGGATGCGTGCGCTCCCATTTGGTGCTGTGAAGTCAGTGCACGCCTTTTTGAGGGCATCCGCAAGCTTGTGGTTTTTGCTGGTCAAGGAGTTTCTTGTGCTGGCAACAAATTATTTCGATGATTTTGTAACCTTTGCTGAGGATACAGAGGCATCAGCAGTAACAGCTTGTGTTCACATGTTTTTCAAGTTGGTCGGTTGGGCGTTTGCAGCCGAGGGCCCCAAGGCTCCAGACTTTGCTGAACTCTTCACGGCCTTGGGGGTCACAATAAACGTGGGATGTCTTCATACTGGCTTGGTGACAGTCGGCAACACTGAAAGCCGTCGACAGGAACTGCTGAAAGTCCTGGATGAGCTTGTGACATCCAGAAAACTGACCAAACCCGAAGCGTTGCGCTTACGGGGACGCCTGCAATTTGCGGCTGGGCATGTCTTCGGCCGTGTGGCCAAAAGTGCGTTAGCAGCTGTATCGCTCATGCGTATGGCGTATGATGGTGGGTCATCCACGCTCAGCAGTCACTGCACAAAAGAATCTTGGAATCTGGACGGCCGCGTGAGCTAAGGCCAACTTGCAATGAGTCATGGTATATCCAAACTGATGCATGCTATGAACCTGAGGGTGACCATGTTTTTGCGGGTATAGGCGGGGTCTTGTTCGCCCCTGATGGGAAGCCAGTCGAGTTTTTCTCACAGCAGCTTAATCAACAGATGATCGCAGCTTTGAACCCTGGCAGCCGTAAGACGGCGATCTTCGAGTGTGAGTTTTTCGCTCTCTTTTGTGCGATGCTGTTGTGGGGCAGTTCAGTCAGCAGTGCCTTAGTCTTATACACTGACAACAATGCGGTGCGTGATGCCATGATTTCTTGTCATACTACAAATGCAGTTGCTAAGAAGATTTTGGTTGCAGTTTTATCTTGGAGACCGAGTTGCAGTTGGCACCTTGGTTTGCGAGGGTCCCGACGAACTCCAACCTAGCTGACCACCCTTCACGTTTAGAGGTGGAACTTTTGTTGAAGATGGGCGCACAACGGCATGAGTTGTGTGCCGAAGAATGCTGGGGTGTTCTGTTGTCCAGAGCTGGAAGTTGGGGAGATGACCTGGGCATCAGAACATCCCAGCGTGAAAAGGGAAGTTGCGCTTGAGAGCTTGCCCTGTTGAACAGTTTATTCAGATTCCTTGCAGTGCATTCACAACCTTTCTTCAGACATGTCTTTCAGCAGCTGTGCCAGCGTTTGCAAGACTGATAATCAAGCAGTCATGTAATGAAAGCGGTTTATCTGGTGAAGCAAGATTCGGATGCGTATCAGCTGGCTGGCTTAAGGTTAGACTGTGTAACTTGAGTTCAACGACAGTGCATCAATGTTCTTCATGTCAATGTCCAATTGCAGGTTCACAACATGTTCATTCTTTTTGAGTGCATTCAACTTGCCCCACCCACAATCCGCCCTCTGGCAAGTTGGGTGCACTCTTTGGCAACTTGACGTCTTCATCATGGACATTCGTCGAAGCGTTGACATGTCAAAACGACATGGCCAAGCCCACAGCCTGATGACCTGGGCATCAGAACATCCCAGCGTGAAAAGGGAAGTTGCGCTTGAGAGCTTGCCCTGTTGAACAGTTTATTCAGATTCCTTGCAGTGCATTCACAACCTTTCTTCAGACATGTCTTTCAGCAGCTGTGCCAGCGTTTGCAAGACTGATAAGAACATGTATTGAATGATGGGAGAAAGGTGAGTAATGGCATAAATAACCACACATGTGATTTGGTTGTTGAACATGGGGGAGACACCATCCAATATGTAAAAAATGTTGTTTTGTTCTGGTATTTTTGGTCATCCCCAACACTAACAATGCCATGTGCGCCATGTGTGTGTTTTCCACGGGTAGAATGAAATACATCATACTAATGATGTCATCGAGGATAAAATTGGGTCATTTTTGGAACAGTGATGAGCCCTTTTTCAGTAAAGATGCAAGTATGATTAGATATTTACTTGATAAACATGTGGAGACTACTATCCAGTTTTTTCAGATACAATAGATGTTCCTTTATCCCATTTCAAAATGATTACGAAGTATCAAGTATCAACTACCAACCATCCTACCAACACTACGAACCAATTTGGGTTCTATTGTGCTTTTGTTTGCATCAAAGGAAGGGGATACCACCCAAATCACATTGTCGGTGATTTTTCCCACTATTATCTCATTATTATGCCCTTATATCTTATTACATTAGTTACATACTCGTCATTAATGTCATGAAATCAATTGCTTACAAATTTTTTACATACTCATCATTAATGATGTCACTAGTTATCAATTGGGGATTTGCTTGGCATGTTGCTATCTTGTAGCCATCCGCTTTCCTGGAAATCTCCGCGATTTCGAACCTTGTTGGTTGATCGTGTACCCTGGGGTAAACATAGAAAAAACATGTGGAGAAACCATGGGGAAAACCGTTCGGAAAATGATCTACAAATGGTGGGTTGTCCATATCCTTTCTGTTTACAGGAGGGTACGATGAACAGGTTCAAACCTACTCAGGTTTGATCGGGTTTTTGACACATTTCTGGAATCCTAATGGAGGTTGTGCTTCAAGGTCCCCATTGGGTTTGTGTGGGATATCAGCAGTTTGCATATTTTTTCTGGTAACCCTCCGGCAATCAAACATGCCAGTGGAAAATTTAAAATGTATAGATGATTTTCCCATTCAGACTTTCATTTTATAGGGGATTTTCCCATTGCCACGTTTGAGTACCAGAGGGTATATGATATCAAGTGTTGTTTTTGTAAGTGGTTAAGGGGAAGAACAAAAACCAGCTGTCCTACCATTTGGTGACAAAAAATCGCGCGGCTTCCCAACTTTCGTCACTGGTTGATCTCCAAAGTTTCGATATCCCAGTGGATTGGCGTTTCTAAAATGTCCTGGTCTGTTGAATCCAGATGGATCAAAACACCCAAAAAAGGTCGCTCTTTTGACCAAAACGGGAACGTCGTTTTCCTTTGAGGCCGGGAAAAGGTCAGTCCAAAGGTTCCAAGGGCGGTAAGTCCAAGGGCGACGAGGCGAGACCATCTCAATTTCGGTGTCGGATTTGCACAAAAACCGGTGGGATTTTCATCCGAATTTTTAGGTCAGAATTATGGGAACATTTTCTTCGCGATTTCACCCAGAAAATGGTGGGATTTTTTGGACGATAGAGATTTCGGAAACCGTGGAAACCATCAAAATCAAGATCTTGACGGGTTTCTTTAACCATCCCAAATGGTAGTGCTTTATGGCGGGTGAATCCCACATTATTCATGTGGATTTTCCAACATGTCAGGTCCAGACAACCCAGACAACGCTTGGATGGCAACAGGTCCAGATTGCACGTTGAACAATGGGACAACTCCAAGTTGCCAAGTTGGAAGTCATCTTTTTCTTGCGTTACTAGTTGCCCCCTGGCAATCAAACGTGGAAAATTCTCGAACTAAATGGAGCTTTGTAGCTGAGAAAATCTTTGAACTATGATTTTCCAGCCACGTGTGATTGTCACATTATATCACCATAATATATATATTATATATATTAATCCATTAAATGATATTTCAGCGATGGGTTCAAAAAATGATATCACCATGAACAAACCCATGAAATCCCTGGTTTTGTCGATGGATTTTCCATGGTAAACTCCCAGCCGCGGGTCAGTGTTGCCGCATTGCCGCGAGGAACCTGACGCGAAGCGGCCAAGGAATGAGGACAGTTATCGCGGGGAAAAAAAAGGGCCGAATGGATTTTCATCAGTTTCCAGGATTGTTTTTTACCTTCTGGTAAACTAACATAGCTATGGAAAAATCACTATTTTTCATGGGTAAATCCACTATAAATTGCCATTTTCAATAGCTTTTATGGATTGTGTTTTGCGGGAAAAATCTTCGGAACCATATCCAGAGTTCTGGTCACCTGGCTGGCTAAGCATTTTGGCTGAACTTTTCTCAATCCTCCGAAGTTTGACAAGTGACACTTCGCAACAGATGCATTTTGCCTTCCTGTTGTCCGTTGTTTCGATTATTCCAGGTCTGGCAGAGAGATTTCATACTGCCCCCTTCATCAGATTGCGGATGTTCCTGATCTGGATGAAGTGCAGAAGTGGGCCGCCTTTTTTGCCAGCAATGAAGGTGGCGGCATGTCTTACCTCAATGCAAGGGACAAGGCCGTCGAGATTCTCGAGGATGAGACCTTTTTTGATTTGGATGAAGTGAAGAAGTGGGCCGCCTTTTTTGTCGGCAAGGAAGGTGACGGCATGTCTTACCTCAATGCAACGGACAAGGCCTTGGAGATTCTCGCAGACAAGCCTCCCTTTGGTCTGGATGAAGTGAAGAAGTGGACTGCCTTTTTTGTCAGCATGGAAGGTGGCGGCATGACTTACCACAGTGCAGTGATGAAAGCCTTCAAGATTCTCCACAGAAACCCTCAATATTATTTGGATGATTTGAAGAAGTGGGCCGCCTTTTTTGCCACAATGAAGGTGGCGGCATGTCTTTCCTCAATGCAACGGACAAGGCCTTCGAGATTCTCGAGGATGAGACCTTTTTTGATTTGGATGAAGTGAAGAAGTGGGCCGCCTTTTTTGTCGGCAAGGAAGGTGACGGCATGTCTTACCTCAATGCAACGGACAAGGCCTTGGAGATTCTCGCAGACAAGCCTCCCTTTGGTCTGGATGAAGTGAAGAAGTGGACTGCCTTTTTTGTCAGCATGGAAGGTGGCGGCATGACTTACCACAGTGCAGTGATGAAAGCCTTCAAGATTCTCCACAGAAACCCTCAATATTATTTGGATGATTTGAAGAAGTGGGCCGCCTTTTTTGCCCACAATGAAGGTGGCGGCATGTCTTTCCTCAATGCAACGGACAAGGCCTTCGAGATTCTCGAGGATGAGACCTTTTTTGATTTGGATGAAGTGAAGAAGTGGGCCGCCTTTTTTGTCGGCAAGGAAGGTGACGGCATGTCTTACCTCAATGCAACGGACAAGGCCTTGGAGATTCTCGCAGACAAGCCTCCCTTTGGTCTGGATGAAGTGCAGAAGTGGGCCGCCTTTTTTGTCGGCAAGGAAGGTGACGGCATGTCTTACCTCAATGTAACGGACAAGGCCTTGGAGATTCTCGCAGACAAGCCTCCCTTTGGTCTGGATGAAGTGAAGAAGTGGACTGCCTTTTTTGTCAGCATGGAAGGTGGCGGCATGACTTACCACAGTGCAGTGATGAAAGCCTTCAAGATTCTCCACAGAAACCCTCAATATTATTTGGATGATTTGAAGAAGTGGGCCGCCTTTTTTGCCCACAATGAAGGTGGCGGCATGTCTTTCCTCAATGCAACGGACAAGGCCTTCGAGATTCTCGAGGATGAGACCTTTTTTGATTTGGATGAAGTGAAGAAGTGGGCCGCCTTTTTTGTCGGCAAGGAAGGTGACGGCATGTCTTACCTCAATGTAACGGACAAGGCCTTGGAGATTCTCGCAGACAAGCCTCCCTTTGGTCTGGATGAAGTGAAGAAGTGGACTGCCTTTTTTGTCGGCAAGGAAGGTGACGGCATGTCTTACCTCAATGCAACGGACAAGGCCTTGGAGATTCTCGCAGACAAGCCTCCCTTTGGTCCGGATGAAGTGAAGAAGTGGACTGCCTTTTTTGTCAGCATGGAAGGTGGCGGCATGACTTACCACAGTGCAGTGATGAAAGCCTTCAAGATTCTCCACAGAAACCCTCAATATTATTTGGATGATTTGAAGAAGTGGGCCGCCTTTTTTGCCAGCAATGAAGGTGGCGGCATGTCTTTCCTCAATGCAACGGACAAGGCCTTCGAGATTCTCGAGGATGAGACCTTTTTTGATTTGGATGAAGTGAAGAAGTGGGCCGCCTTTTTTGTCGGCAAGGAAGGTGACGGCATGTCTTACCTCAATGCAACGGACAAGGCCTTGGAGATTCTCGCAGACAAGCCTCCCTTTGGTCGGATGAAGTGAAGAAGTGGACTGCCTTTTTTGTCAGCATGGAAGGTGGCGGCATGACTTACCACAGTGCAGTGATGAAAGCCTTCAAGATTCTCCACAGAAACCCTCAATATTATTTGGATGATTTGAAGAAGTGGGCCGCCTTTTTTGCCAGCAATGAAGGTGGCGGCATGTCTTTCCTCAATGCAACGGACAAGGCCTTCGAGATTCTCGAGGATGAGACCTTTTTTGATTTGGATGAAGTGAAGAAGTGGGCCGCCTTTTTTGTCGGCAAGGAAGGTGACGGCATGTCTTACCTCAATGTAACGGACAAGGCCTTGGAGATTCTCGCAGACAAGCCTCCCTTTGGTCTGGATGAAGTGAAGAAGTGGACTGCCTTTTTTGTCAGCATGGAAGGTGGCGGCATGACTTACCACAGTGCAGTGATGAAAGCCTTCAAGATTCTCCACAGAAACCCTCAATATTATTTGGATGATTTGAAGAAGTGGGCCGCCTTTTTTGCCAGCAATGAAAGTGGCGGCATGTCTTACCTCAATGCAACGGACAAGGCCTTCGAGATTCTCGAGGATGAGACCTTTTTTGATTTGGATGAAGTGAAGAAGTGGACTGCCTTTTTTGTCGGCAAGGAAGGTGGTGGCATGACTCACCTCAATGCAACAAACAAAGCCTTCGAGACTCTTCGAGATTCTTGAAAAAAACCCTCCGTGTGAAGGGAGGTCAGCCTTCCTGTGAATGTCTCCATGCCGGCGCCGTCTTCAAAGCGCCCTTCTGACCGCCACGATGCAGTTGTGCGCGCTGTCAAAATCAGTAGCTGTCGATGTTTGCACAGTTTGGTTTGTTGGATGCTTTCACATCATTTTATCATTGAAATTGAACTTGCCTGATTTTCCAGCAAAAAGTGATTGAAACTACACAGAGAGGACCCCAGTTCTCAATGGGTTTATAAACCCCAGTGCGCAGATATTCACCACAAACCCTAATTGTATTATACAGAACTTATGTGTATATATATATATACATATTATGTATATCGAGATATATCTATACTAGATTATTATATGTATTTTGGTGATACACCAATTCACATGATCTCCATCGAAACGCACGGCAACTTTTTCACGCACAGGACTGGAGAGATGAACCTTGGGAGTACAAGAACGAGCAGTACGAGGTGGAAGTTCAGTACTGCAGATTCATATATATATATATATATGTGATATTATATATATATTAAATAAATATATATTATACACATGTGATGTATATATATATATCTACACCATATTGTATGTGTGGTATAGAGATTGACTACGGTTGCGGGGCTGGGTGGCTTCTTTCGATGTTCGTTGATGACATTTTTGCTTCAGTCCACCGGAAAGGCTGGAAAAAGGCAAGGGGTTGGTGGATATTTCCCGTGGTAAACGGGGTTAAAAATCGTGCCACACACGACCATATTTTATGATATGTCCTCACATATTTTTGATATATGATGGAAATATCATGAGATATAAATGGGGTAAAAATCGTGCCATATTATTGGTGGATATTTCCATGATATTTCCTCACAGGCCTTAGATATCAAGTGACATATGTCACCTGAAAACTGGAGCCCTGTGAACTTCTATCCGGGTTGACCCCTTGCCCAAAAATATACCCTGAAAATCAATTTTTGGGGTACCGCCATTTTGGGAAACCTCTAAATATTGATTGTGATAGTATAATACCCATATCTATTATCATATCTACATTAATTGTACCACCATTTATCAAAGATTGATGGTTGAATACCCAGTGCCACCTTATAATATCGGCATATCACCAGAGTATGATGGAGTTGATGTTCCTGAAATTCCCATGACCAGCAGGTGAATTTCCCATTCAATCACTCATTTTTACATAGTTACCATAGTATTTTGTGGGTCTATATACATACATACATACATACATACATACATACATACATACATACATACATACATACATACATACATACATACATACATACATACATACATACATACATACATACATACATACATACATACATACATACATACATACATACATACATACATACATACATACATACATACATACATACATACATACATACATACATACATACATACATACATACATACATACATACATACATACATACATACATACATACATACATACATACATACATACATACATACATACACATACAAATATATATATTTTTTAATATACAACCCATTTGATCATGTTGTTTGGTCTGAAATGGCCCCCGGACGGGCGAACGACACGTCCTTTGAGTCGTCAGGCCTACTACCGACGTCAGAAGATTTGCTCTGAGGTTCAGCGGATGGGCTAAAAAACATGTTCAGACAGACCTATGATATTTATAAATATATAATATATAAATATAAAATATTAATATTTTTATACTATTGTTACCATATATGTATTAACGTATATTATTACCCTATATATTATGCTATGATATTTACATACATAATGATAAATCATATATATATATGATATTCTAATATAATGTAAGGTAATGTAAGGTAAGGTAATCTCATGCCACGTAATTTGTCCCTGGTTCAGGTCGGCTGTGGAATCTCGTCTTTGGGAAGATGAAAAAACGGGTGTAGCTGACGAAGCACAGGAATCACGCTGTCAAAGCCAACACAAGTTTGGCACTTGTTATCTTCAACTATTCCATGATGTCTATGGTCTTCCCTGGTTTTCTCCAAAGATGTTAGATCAACCTCCCATTTTTCCAATCAAATCCACTTTTGTTCACCATTTTTCTTCATTAAGGATTAAGATCATCAAACATTTTTTCATCATTTTTCTTCATTAAATCGTCCCCTAGCCGGCCATCATTGTGGGCGAAAAAAATCAGCCGTGAAAATCACCGGTCAAATCGGTGGACGAAGGAGGATTTCCTCAAGATGCTTGAGACACTGCGGACGGGCCTTCCAGTACCTCAGACTGGAAAAGTGGGGTTTCACCATCGATGAATGGGGATTGATATGGGATTTCATGGGGATATAGCGGGAATATCATGGGATAGAATGGGATACTTTTTGGTGACGACTAAGAGGTTAAAATAACAGGTAAATCATCGAACTAAATGGTCCATTATCCATAGCGGACTCTGAAATTAGCAGAGGGTTTATACCATTATCTGGAAAGCGGATTCTTTTTTCAGTTTCTTTTTGTGTAATAGTTTTTTTCTTTTGCACGGAACAGAAATCGGACCTTTCCGCCTTTCTTATGGGAGATTATAATCTTTCTTTCTTGGAGAGACGTTGCATTTTTAAAAACTACTTTTCCATCTTATGGTGATTCTCCTTACTAAAATGTGTAGATTCATAGTCGAAACCTCGAAATCGGAAACGGTTGGCACGACCCAGGTGGCAATCCGTGTGAATCGCATGCGTCTGGGTGCAGCATCTCTGAGAGAACGCTTGGAGGAATTGGCCGAGAAGTTCTGTCGCGTTCCCCAGAGGTTTCCGCCTGCGGAGATGGTGGAGAACATTTGTTTTGTTTGTGTTTTTTGAATGGGGACACATGGCTGGTATTTTGGTGTTGTAATTTCGACATGGATGTAGACTTTGAGAATTGTGTGTAATCTGACTAGATGACGACATTATTTGGGAAAATGATGAGCAAGCAGAATGGGGGTACCCTATTCTCAGACGAAGCCACATTTCCGTGGAGGAATATTACGAATATTCCATGTAAGGATTGGACATATCTTTGTGGAAATATGGGGATTTTTGATGATGTTTCTACAAAAACAACGGTTACATGGTGGTTATAGTGGTTATATGGCTATGATTCAAGTGATTTTTTGGTGCTCAGAACGGCCACCAATACACCAGAAAAAATGGCAGGATTTTGTACTCAGGTGATCCTGAGATGCAATGCTATGCTCCTCAGAAGTTGTCTTGGTGCGGTCCCGAGATTTTTTTTGGGAAAGGACGAACCGAAGACTTGTGTGCTGGAGGCAAGTTGTGTTTTTTTTGGTGGCAATCTGACTTGAACATGTTTGAACATGCTTAGAATCTTGTACTTCAAGATACTCGAAGTAGGATTTTGAAGGGGTCGGGTTCCCAAATTGTAGGTTGACTGCTACCTGGCAAAAGCTGAACATGACTCAAAACCGCACTCCAAGAAGTGGTGATTTTGGCACCAAAAAATGGTTGTTGGATACCCTGCGTTGATCTCCCATCATCTCCCTATGTTTGGTCGGTAAAAAAACCGACTTCGATTTGCCATAAATCTTGGGCTCATCCCATGCTGGTGCTTTCCCAAAAATGGGGCTACCTCCGTATTTTTTCTATTTTTTTTTTTATAGATGGAATTGTCCATTATAAACTTTAATGAACTCATTAATCACCATCCATTTTTAGATGGATTCTCCATATTTTTCCCATAACCATCCAGCTTTTGGGGCTGAGGTACTCCCATGGCTTTGGTTGGATGTGGCCCAACCTGGAACGTGTGCTGGCGAGAAATTGGATGGTCTGAAAAATAGGGGCTGAACCCGAAGAATGGTGGTGCTTTTTATTGGGAAAAATGATGATTAACTGATTAACCATCAATTTTTTTGGGGATAGCCTATGTTCAGACAAAAAACATCTATGTCTTTGGGTTTGTCTCATCAAAAATGGGGGGAACTTTCCATTTCCATTGATCCGTTTGATCTTCCCCATGAAACAAAATGGCCATTGAGGCCCCAATTTTTAGACGAGCCCCATTTTACAAGCACAGACCCATTCTATGATCTCAAAATAAGATAAAATAAGTGGTTTCATTCCCTGGGTGTAAAAAATATGAACGGGGACGGGAGTATTTTTCCAAAATTGCTCATTGAATATCCCATTCTGAACGATTCTGAACCCTTAAACATACCATCATTGACCATCATTAACAATTATTAACCATCATTAACCATTGATATCCCATATGGATAGCATTAACCATTGATATACCATCATTAACCATTATTAACAATTATTAACCCCATATAACCATACCTTTTGTTCGTTTTTGTCTTAGGGCTATGGGATGAACTCATCCCGTTTTGCTTTGTCTCCAGGTCGTGTGATCAAGAAAGACCAGCGTCATGCTGGGCTGAAGGAGTCATCCAGCTGAGGGGTGGGGTCACTGTATCGACCTTGGATGACTACTTTCCTGGTGATTTTCCATAGCTATTTCATGGGGATATAGTGGGTATATGGGTATGGGTCAATACCTATGAAAATACCATATTTTAGTGGGTTATTCACATCCATAAATCCCAGCTATGACTTGGGGTGAACAAAAGGTACCAGGGTTTTGACCCATCCCCATATACCCTCTGGTAATTTGTTAACAGTTTGCGAACTTGAACATGTACCATTTACTTCGTGGATTTTCCCATGAAAGATGGTGATTTTCCATAGCTATGATATTAAATAACCAGAGGGTAAATGGGGATACCATCGATGAAAACTACCCAGCGAAAACTGTGGGTTGTTGTTTTTTGTCAAGGTATCTGGATAAATTTTGGCCACGTACACTCGCGGGTCTGACCAGCAGATTTTGTACCTTGGGGGTCGAAATCAACAGGCCTGTCCAAAACTGGGGCACCCGATAAATTCAACTGGGAGAAACTTCATTTTAGGCGTATCCGACTGATGATTTTTCATCAGTATTGCAATGATTTGAAACATGGACTTTCACAGTTGGAGATCTTTCCCTGTACCAAAATCAGTTCTGGTTTGTCCAAACATGTGGTAGCCCTGAAACCCAATGGTTTATCATTTAAACATCAAAAAAATGCCATGGCCAACAGGGTCTCCGGTTTCGCCCAAACTTGGAACCAGGATGAATTGCTGGGATCTACCCAGGCTGAAGATCAGCAGGCTTTTCAAATCGATCAAATTACTGGAGATTGTCCCATGATATTTTCTTAAATCCTCCAGTAAATGGGATATACCCATGATATACCATGATGATTATCCCATTGTTTTTAAGTGGTTTAAACCCTCCAGTAATTTAATGATATCAGCGATGATAATACCAGGCTTCAAGCTGAATTTTATATCCTATTTTGTATATTGGTGCATGGTATTTCCCAAACAACACAGAATGATGTCTATAGTCATCCAGATTGATATCCAATTTCCATGGGAACAATGCGGGCAACCCAACAATGAAACCTACCATTTGAAGATGGTTTGTACAACCCATTTATGGTGATTTTGGGGATGGTTTATTATTGGGTTCACCACATTATACACATATGCTACATTATAATATATCTTATTGAACAATACCACATTATTCTCCCCAAAAAGAATATTATAAACATATACTATACCACCCAAAGAATACATATTGGTCAAGTCGATGAATGAATTGCTGAATGAAGGTACGATTCTTTTTGTGCATATTGAGCAGATTGACCATCACTTGTTCCGCCGTGTCCCATTTTGGTTTAAGCTGTTTAAATCAGAGCAGCTGGGCCAGTGTGCATGTATCCTGGGCGCTCTTTAGTGCCTGTGGCAATCGGCATCAGCACCCTTAGCTGGAGGACTGAAATCTGGGAGCTTGCTGCGAGATTTTTGATTGCTTTGGTGCGGTGGCTGATTCATAGAGTAGAAGTGGCAGCAGCTGAAGCCGAATTACGGGCAATCATTTCCTGGAGTGTATCTGGCTTGATATTCTACTTGCTTATTGTCTTGGGTGTAGTAGCAGTTCAAGTTGTACACGTCTGGTTTGTGGTGAGTCGAGGCATTTGTTCTCTCTTGCCTACGTTTGCCAAAGGATTTTGATTGCTGTTGTAGGTTTGCAGACTGGATTGTGCAACTCATTAGTTGAATTTGCAATCTGCAGTCACGAGCACGTTGGCCCAGCCGTTGCATCCACCTGTTTGAAAGACCGTTCTGCACTCACCTATCAAGCTTGCATGGATGCTGGTTCTTTCATTGTCGTTGCCCGAGACGGAGAATGGGACGAGGCATTGTTAGTTTGTCACAACGAAGGATCTGAATGGCTTTGCTATTCGACGGACCCGAGTGGCACCAGATTCATATGGGTTTTGATTCGCATGACTTTGGGGAATTTCAGAATAGTGGAAGGGAGAGATGGCAACAGGGTAGCGCCTCCGGGAATTGTGCCCGGGAACGTGAACTGGATGTGCGACCCTGGCAATCTTGCAGCCAAATGGTCCCCATCCCCTGGTCTTTTGGTGAATCTTTGCTCGGAAGGTCGAATCATTATGGACATAGTGAAAGCAGAGGTTCAACCACCAACCCGTCACATAGCGGGAAGCTCAGGGGACTTTGTGGAACTGATCAGAGCAGCTCAGGCGCCAGCGCCGGCCCAGGCACAACAACCTGCGGTTCAGGCTGGGCAGGCCGTGGGAGCAGCAGGGATTGGACCTCCAGCCGTGAGGGATTCCATGGAATTGCAGAAACTTGCGGAGGTGGTCAACTCTTTGAGGAGCGAGATAGAGGAGGGAAAGTCCAAGAAGAAGAAAGGCAAGAAAAGAAGGAACAAAGGCAGAAAGCGAAGCTCTTCCTCGAACAGCTCCTCCAGTTCCAGCCGAAGTTCGAGCAGCAGCAGCTTTGTGAAATGGAAGATGAATGGCAAAAGCCGAAAAGTGTCAGCAGTGAGCATGGGGAAGGTGGACACCAAGAAGTTCAAAAAGAGATCCGACTTGTTGATCTTTGCGGCGAAGCATCCGGGAGCACTCACCGCCAACTTCATCAATGCCCTGAGGCAGAAACTGATGAAAGGCGGAATTGTCCGTACCAGCCAGCTGAGAGACATCGAGATGACGGAGTTTGTCACGACCGGGGCCGCAGGCTTGAAGGAGGTGAGGGATCGGCGCGAAGCACTCACCATATTGCAGTCGATGGACTACATCAACCAAGGAGAAGTGGAGAAGGCGATGGACGTTTTGTCCATGCGCATCACCGCCCTCCTCGAAGCAAAAGCTTCGGGCGGAACATTGGACAAGGCTGCAAAGAAGGAGCTGATTCCCGAGGAGTCAGCCGGACTGGCTCCTGCAGGGCTGACTGGTCTGGCCTGATCGGGCCATGGAGTTGGAGGGGGAGGGAAATCTTGAAGACTATTCCTCCGAAAGCTCCATTTCAAGCGTGTGTAGACATTTTGTCTGAGTATGTGGCAGTCACCCGTGGCTCACTGAATCATTCCCTGCGAGGCGGCTTGGGCAATAGGACATCTCTGGAAGCCGGGGTCAGTCCGAGTGCAGTGTTTCCATTACCTTTGATGTCACCATGCAAGTTGCCTAGGAGGGGACGGTCACGCGAGCGGGCGAAGGCCAGGAATTCATTTTTGAACTATGTCAACCTGATCATTTCTGCTTTGAACCATATGTACAGTGGCTGTAGCAGGGTGAGCCGGGTTGAGCCTACACTAGCACAAGCACGGGTGCATCAATGCATTTTTACAACCGTGTCCAGCTTCCTTCGCAGTGGTGTTCGTACTAGCGGGGAAGAGGAAATTAAGGATTATCTCCTGGAATCCATGCACTACAATGGTGCGGGTGGACAGGCTCAACCACTTGGGCTGCGTGCAGGCGTTCCTGATCATGCAGCTGTGGTGGATTTGAAAGGCGTGTTGGATAGGTATGACAAAGGGTTGGCTGAACAGGTGGAACATCCTTCTTCATTGCTGTACCCCAAAAGGCTTCGACCCAAACACATACCTAAACCATTTTGCAAATTGCATGAGACTTATCCAGCGTATGTCAAGCGCAACGTCAAAGCTGGACTCCAAACTTTGCTTCCTCGCAAGAGTATTTACAAGATTAAGGGAAGGCCATTATACAGTGGAGCTTTTGCTGTGCCTAAGAATTCTGATGAAGATAGAGCCATTTCAGCATTGTGCACATTGAACGCATTGGTCAACCCTGCTAAGCTGTGGAAACCACGCTTTGCGATCATGCCCATGATGAGAGCATTGCAGATAGCACCTGGGAAGCGCTTGCGTATTTACAAAAAGGATGCCCGTCATTTTTTCCATTTTCTCCGTGTTGGGCGACGGTGGAGAAAGTACATGGCACATCCACCATTGAAGGCAACAGCAGAATATCCGGAAATGTTCCCGGCACACGCAGGAGTTCCCATGGGCTTCACAGCTGCTGCTTCTTGGGCTCAGGCCTACAACGAGGCCAAAGCAGTTTCCGTGTCTTTGCCTTCACATTCACGCCTAGTAGATTCACAGCCTCCCCCATCTGTTTTTCCAATTTGGGGTTCTATCCTTGATGATATCTGGGCTATTGAGGAATGCGATTCTACTGATGATCCCCCTGGAGTAGCTCACAGGTGGATGCAAGATATGGCACATGCGTGGAAAGAGGATGGTGTTGTAGAACATGAGAAAAAGGCAGTCACTGGTGTTTACAAAGAGGAAGTGCAGGGTGTCCTGGTTGAGGGATCTCGAGGTTGGTTGGGTGTCAGCCGTGAAAAGCGAGCCCAGCTATTCCAGGCTGGAATGTATCTCTTGGCACAGCGGAGACCTTTGGTGGGAGAGGTGGACCGTTGGCTGGGGAAGCTGTCCTTTGCTTTGTCATTTAGACCTTGTGCAAGATCCATTCTTCAGGACATTTATGTTTGGTTAGGGAGACACCGAGGCATTTGCAAGAGAGCTGAACTATGGCCATCAGTTAGGGCAGAAATTGTCATGTCGTTGCTTTTCATTCCTTTCATGCAATCTGATTTGCGGTCTTCTTGGTGTCGCAGAGTCGAAGCTAGTGATGCGGCTCCGGGAGGCCATGGACGCGCGTGGACTCAGATGAGTGAGCCAATGGTCGCAGAGGCGGCCAGGTTGTGCTCACACAAGGGGGTATATACCAACTTGGAATCTGAATTTGGGATTATTTTGAACGACAAGGGGGAATGTCCCATGCAACAAGTTTCTTTGCCATTGCATCAGTACAAGTGGTCTACAGCTGCGCGTCAGGGTGGCTACAAACACATCACAATTGAGGAAGCAATTGCTTTGAATTGGTCCCTGCACGACAGGCTCAAACGACCATCTGAGCTGGGCCAGCGAGTGCTTCACCTGGTGGATTCAGCGGTTGCAGCTGGGGCCTATAAGAAGGGGCGATCTGCTTCACGAAAACTTAATGGGTGTTGTAGGCAGGCGTGTGCTATCATTTGTGCTTCTGGCATTGATCCTTATTTTGTTTGGGTCCCGACCGACGTCAACCCAGCAGATGAACCCAGTTCCCGCCACGGTGTGAGAGCTGACCAGCACCGTACAGTGCAACCAAAACCTCATCAAGTGGTAAAGTGTGGGGATACAAAACTCCTTGCTGCTGAGACCAATCCGTTTCATACCCCTTGTGATCCTGGTTTTCCAAAAGGGGGCAAAGATTGGAGAGCGGATGAGGATGAGTGGTTGCGCGCATTAGTCATCTCTGGTCTTGCACAGACATCCAACACATGTTATCAAACCCAGCTACCTGAGATCTTCATACATCTTTGTTCTGGACCTCGGCGGGTTGGTGATGTTTGTGATTGGATCATACGCCAAGCCAATTTGGACAGCCGAGCTGTGCTTGCACTACGGGTGGATCCATTGATTAGCCGTAGTTTGGATCTGGTTGATGGCATGTTTGTTTGCAAGATTGAGGGTCTCATTTGTAGTGGTAGGTGTTTGGGTGTTCTAGCTAGTCCTCCTTGCAGTACATGGTCACGAGCTCGGCATGTGCCTCTGACTGGCACCAGCACTTTTGGGCCTCGGCCATTGCGATCGCGAGCAGATCCCTGGGTGTGTTTGGATGGTAGGTCACGAGCTGAACAGGCTTTGTGCAACTTAGGCAGCTGTATTATGTTGGCTTGTGTTTACTTATTGGGGCTAGCCCATTATTGCTGGCGAGGCCTTGAGCACCCCAAGGATCCAGGATCTGAACCTTTTCCTTCCTTTTTTGCCACAAAGGCATCTACGCTGTTGCAGGCACAGGGGATGAAAACCATTTGCTTCGATCAGTGCCGCTTCGGGGCCAACGCTCGTAAGCCCACCCAAATGTTGATCAGCCAATCTGACTTGGTTGGGCGTCTGGGAGGTCACTTTTGCAATCATACATGCCACACACCTCACATTGGAAAAAACAAAGCCGGGGGATTCATGACTACACCCTTGGCTGCTTACCATAGTCACTTTTGTTTGGAGTTAGCCACTTTGGCTGGAAGATGCCCGCGTGGATTTTTTGAACCCAGGCGTCATGAACAATGGCGGGCTACCTTTGCGGCTGCAGCATTTCCTTTTGAGCATCCTACAAAACAAGTCTCTTCGGCTTTACCAAAATGCTCTTGGTCATTTCAAGGATGAACTTGATGCAAGATCTGTGTCTTGGGCAGCTTTAAGTGAAGATGACAAAGATATCTTCTTAGCAGAATATTTCATAGATCTCAAAGAAGCTGGAGCAAAACGACAAGGATGCCAAGTGTTGTGTGCCGCTCTGCACAAAATCTTCCCTAGACACCGGTATGCTATAGCACGGCGAGTTTTGGAAGTCTGGAAAGCAGAAGAACCAGTCCGTCAAGCCCCAGCATGTCCTAGTGAGATTGCCTTTGCCATGGTAGGTGCTGCGCTAGCTTTGCATTTAGGAGGGGTCGCTTGTGCAATTCTCCTTTGTTTTACTGGGCTCTTGCGTATCTCTGAAGCATTGCGTCTTACCTGGAAAGATGTTGTATTTAGCGATGGGGTTATAATTCTGCTGCTCGGACGTACAAAAAGAGGGCATGATGAAAAAGTGGTTCTGGCACACCCTCAGACTGTCGCTTGGCTTTCACAGTTCAAAACGCAGTTCTTCACGGATGATGCAACTCGAGTCTGCCCTATTTCCTACTCCAAAGTACGATATTGGCTTCCTCGTTTATGCAGAGTCTTGAGGGTAGGTGACCTTGCTCTCACTTCCCACTCCTTTCGACGAGGTGGTGCAAGCACATTGCTGCACCAAGGCATGCCTCTTGCTGACATAGCAGTTCACGGCCGTTGGGCTTCTGAGTCCTCATGCAGAGAATATTTGAGACGCGGTGAGCTATTTATGGTGCGTTTTCAGTCTGCGATTCAGCCTTCAGCTTGGTTCAATATTCAGACTCTTTCAAAGGCGGTTTTCCCGTTACTTTCTGCTTGCGAATCATGCTAGCGCTCTGCAGGGAGTGGTGGGAGAGAAATAGCTGTTTGCATTGCATTTCAGAATAGAAGCGGTGCAGATAGCACTAGCCGTCTTGGTGCTCTTTAGCCCACAGGAGTTTGAGGTTGCGGACGCAACTACAACTGAAGGTGAGATAAAAGACTGGCAGCCCGACAGGGGTCTGAATCCATCACATACAGCTCAAAATGGTCAAGTCGATGAATGAATTGCTGAATGAAGGTACGATTCTTTTTGTGCATATTGAGCAGATTGACCATCACTTGTTCCGCCGTGTCCCATTTTGGTTTACCCCTTTCACCCTTTTGATCCACCCATATTTTCTCCCAGGGTTAAACCCTTGGGGAGAGAAATAGCTGTTTGCATTGCATTTCAGAATAGAAGCGGTGCAGATAGCACTAGCCGTCTTGGTGCTCTTTAGCCCACAGGAGTTTGAGGTTGCGGACGCAACTACAACTGAAGGTGAGATAAAAGACTGGCAGCCCGACAGGGGTCTGAATGCATCACATACAGCTCAAAAAATATATTTTATAATATACACTTTTTATATCCTCCCAAAAAAACCAAAAACTGCCGATCTCAAAAGAATCAGCAATGGTCGAGGTATTTGGCACAACGCGAGAGGGCTGGTCTTATTTCGCGGCAGGAGGCGACCCGTTGGGCCCGGTGTTTCTGATTGGTGTTTCTGATTGGATTGGGATATGATGTGGTTGAGTACCCTCTGGTAATTTAACATCGCTATTGAAAATGGCCATTTATAGTGGATTTTCCCATTAAAAATGGTGATTTTCCATAGCTATGTTAGTTTACCAGAGGGTAAATCACACATATCACACTGAAACAGGCTGATCCCGCTATTTTTTTGGGAGGTACCACCCATTCTGGTGAACATGGTTGGTTTTGCCCAGTCACGTGCAGGTGGATCAACCGACTTTCCCAACATGACCTAAAAAATGGGGCAATCCATTCCAATTCCGTATGCCCAATTCCGTACACAGCGGCAAATGACCAAATGGACACCACAAATGGATGGTTTGAAGATCGAAAACCGATGATCGTTTTCTCGTGGTTGGGACCCCATGTTTGAGTCATATCCCAACAATAAACGGGTTTCATCCTCACTTGTTCCAGTGGACATTGCCATTGCCCCTGCATCCCCAAGTCTTGAGCCATATCCATATCCACATGGATTTCCTCATGAAAGCATTCAGATCATGGACAAAAAAATTGGAGAATGACATCCCCCAACTCCTCCAATCTGTGGCTCAGCGGGGGGAGTATCGGCCGGCGCCGACCCGCTAAAAACACAATGCAGCTGCCGGTGGGGGGAACCTGGAGGGATTTCTGTAAGTGTCTGGGCCGCTGGGCAAGTTGATGTAGTGATGGGGTGTAAAACCAGGGCAAACATCGGGATTTCAATCGTCATGGGGGAGATTAGATGATCAGATATGACAAGTGGAGATTTGATGATCGCAGATTTGGAGGCGATTTCCATCAGAACAAGGGAGATGCCACAAGAAGTATGGGTGACAGGCCAGGGGGGTCAAACCCAGCAATGGGTGTTACACTGCAATGATGGGGCTTACCCTCTGTTAAACATACAAAAAACTATGGAAAATCACCATGCTATTAATGGGAAAATCCACTATAACTGGCCATTTTCAATAGCTATGTAACAGATTACCAGAGGGTACTCCAACTCATCCATTCGGAAATACTATGGACCACTGGTGCTGCCTTTGGATCGCCCCACCGAGGCTGGCTTTCCTGCAGGGAAGCAGGCTGGAACAATCGGCTGGGTGAACCCCCTGATATGTTGAGGTAAAAGCCCATCCATCGAATGGAACCTTTTGACTGCGTCAAAATGAGGAATCTTCAGAAATTCACCAACAAGTTGAATCAGCATTTCTTCGCAGGGGATACCGCTTGAGGTCACATGAATTTCGCCAATGAAACCAGAATTCCCAGAATTCCACCTTTGAACAGCAGCCTTCTATCTACCCTCTGGTAATCAGTCACATTTCCGGAAAAAATCCCCCAGCCATTGTTCGATGATGTTCCCACATATGACTTTTTTTGGTTCCTAAAATGGGGGTACCCCAATTTTTGTCGCTGGATGATTTCTTTCATGGAAAATCAATCTATAAATGGATGATTTAGAGGTACCCCATTTTAGGAAACCTCCATATACACACATATATATATATAGAGATAGATAGATAGATAGATAGATAGATAGATAGATGCCCATGGCTAGTTCGGTGATTTCCCATTGCCGCCAATGTTGCCAATTTTTGATTGCCGGAGGGTAAATATAGCAGCCCCTATCCATACATATGTTGGACTAGAGAGATTTTTAAAATATGTATAATATATAATATCACATATATATATGATATAATATATATGATAGCTTTCAGCTTCCATTCGTTCAGGTTCCAATGAATCCTTGGCTGGACAACCGATATCCATGCAGCTATAAGGCTCAGGGAGCCCAGGACGTGGGCGGGTTAGGGAACTAGCTTGACCAATAGCTACTGCTGTAGGATCAGCTCTAGTGGCAATAGGGTGTGGCTACCCTTCCAGTGCTTCCTGGCCTTGCGTTTGCGCATTTTTCAGTTTTGGGGGCATTTTGCCCAATCTGGCATCCATTTCATCTGTGGCGACGGAAAAGGATCTTGTGCTTGGCAGTGCAGTGGTGATTTACTGAAGGTGACTGCATAGGTTTGTGGTAACATCATCTTTGGATATTATCATTGGGCATTTGCCCGGCTGAGTGATTTCGACTACTTTTGGTTTTGGGACAGCCGAGACAACAGCAGTTGGTTCAACTACTGGTGATTTACACTGGTAGCGGAGCCGCCTCAAGGCGGCATCCGGGGTGATGAGCTCTACGGCAGGTGCTACCAGCACTGAAACTGGAGGAGTCAGCAACCAGCTGTCATCCTTGGTGCCGACTTTCGACCCAGCACTGGACGATGTACTGATTTACCAGAAGAAGGTGGAATTGGTCTTGGCCGCATGGCCGAAAACACGTTTGACTGAACTGGTGACGCGCTTGATTTTGGGGTGCAAAGGATCAGCTTTCGAAAAACTCCAGATACATCAACAAGAGCTTCTGGTGGGAGAAGAGAAGTCCGTTCATAGAATCATTGAGCTGTTGGGGGGACAATGGGGACGCATACCACTGGAAAGACAATACCAAGATGCTGAGAGGGCCCTGTATGAAACCCAACAACGACCCGATGAAACAAATGACAGCTTTCTTGCCCGAAGTGATGTTCTATGGAGCAAGCTCCTTGCACGAAAGCTGACACTGGAGGATTTGCAAGCATATATTCTCCTTCGAGGATCCAACTTGAGCAGTGACGAGAAGAAAAAGGTCATTTTGGACTCTGAGATAGCAGGTAAGCTTACAGTTCAGAAGGTGACAGAGGCCATCAGGACACTAGGTGCCAGTTTTTTCATGGACATGACAAACCAGAAGAAACCGACCAAGACCAAGGTGTACGATCAGGCAACCCTTGTCACAGAAACTGACTCTGATTATCCACCAGAATCTGAAGCAGCCATGATAACCAATGATGAAACCAATGAAGAGGAGTTCATCGAACAGCTCTTGCAAGAGGGTGACAGTGATGCAGCCTTCATCCATGACTTTGAAGGTGCCGCTTCTGAGACACTGCAGGATGACCCAGAACTTGCAACGGCGCTGATGGCCTACCAACAGGCCAGACATAGGCTGTCGGAGAGATTCCGAAACCGTGGATTTTGGCCACCCAGGCCTTTTCAGGGTTCGTCCAAGGGAAAAGGGTTCCAATCCAAAGCAGCTGGAAAAGGAAAGGGCTCAACCAACTGGGCCAACCGACCAAAGAAGACTCTCCAAGAGCGCATCATGAGCAGCACTTGCCGGCTTTGCAACCAGCGAGGCCATTGGAAAGCCGAGTGTCCACTGCGGTCTCAAGGAGGTGGATCCCAGACCGGTAGCACTGCTGGAAATAGCCAAGCTCCGACCACCACCCTGATCGGTGAATCGGAGATCGACAGTTTGCCGCTGGAGTTCATCCACTTGCCCGAGACATTGATGCCTCCCTTGGAGGAATTGCCAGTCACTCTGAATTTGCCTTCAACAGTTTTTTTGAGTTTTGTACAGGGCCATTCCAAGTCGTTTTGCTATCGTGGGAGGATTCTGGGGAAATCTAGCGTAGTTAGCAATAGTATAAATGAGCCCAACATGCATGCCACCACAGCCAAAGATCGCCTGCGCCAACACCTGCACAGGATGAGTTTTGGCACACATGAGCCAGTGAACCGTGATCGTGAGAGACGTGCCAGCTTAGGTCTACCAGTAGATGCCGTGCCTGTCCCGGTCTGTCCAGAGACTCACAAGTCAGATGCAGATAAGTCGTCCATGTTTGCACCCACATGTTTTGCCACCCATGGAACCTACGGAGTGCTTGACTTGGGTGCCTCAAAGACAGTCGTAGGTGCTGACTCAGTGACAGCCCTGATTGAGGGATTAGATCCTTCACTGCGCAATCGCCTGACCCGATGTCCGTGTGATATCACTTTTAAGTTTGGAAACCAAGGAACACTTCGCAGCTCTCAAGCATTGGTAGTGCCATTGGGTCGCCTGCTTTTGAAAGTAGCCATAGTCCCAGGTAACACCCCCTTTTTGTTGAGTAATTCACTGATGAGGGTTCTCCAAGCTGAAATTGATTGTTCCAAACATCAATTCAAGAGTCCGTTGCTTGATGTCCCAATTGACATGCACTTGACTAAGCGGGGTCTATACCTGGTAGATATCAATGATATTGCACTTGCGGCCGAACGCAAACAGAATGGCAAAGACCATGCAGCGAAGCCTGTAGGATCAACCTTCGTCACCTTGCCCGACGACCGCCAAACAAGCAGCATTGCCGATGGTGAAGCACCTGGGAACATGTTAGGGAAACATGAGATGCAGGCAGGGTCCATGGAGAAGACATCACAGGTGATCTCATCCATCCAGCAAACCAACCACGCCGAAAAGCCGAAACCATTGACCATGAATCCTGATCGGAGCAAAAGTGAGGCTCAAGGACCGATCGATCATCAAACTCAGACCTCACTTGTGGACCATGTCGCTGGGCAATCGTCTGAAGAACCTGCAGCTGGCAGCCGAGCCAGTGACTCCAGATCTGAGCGACCAGACCATAAGCAGTCTGGAGAATTTGACCATCACGTTTGGTCAGAAGCACAAGGGCCGGAAGTTTCACGAAGTATGGGCGGATCAGGAGTGGGTTCTGTTCATGGCGACACGTTATGCAAAGTCAGGAAACCCAGATCATCAGAAGTTTATCAAGTATGTAGACCTCATGGTGACCCAGCACGAAGAACAACAACTACCCATCACCATGAACGGAAACTCAGCGATTCCAGGCTCTGGTACCGGCAGTGCCTCTCAGATAATCCTTGGCCAGCTAAAGGCCAAAGCCAAAGCCAAGAACATGTCCCGCGCCATGGGATACAATGTCCCTATACAGGTTCCCAACCATTTGCCAGACCTGGACCCGGCCGACTCCGAATGGGAGAGTCATTCCATGGCATACCAAATGGAGTATATGCCGGAAAATTTGATCAGCCAGAGCCCAGAGTTCCAAGCAATGAGCCAAAGGCTCCTGCACATGGAGAATGCCTTGCAGCGAGTCATCGGCCACCTGGAACACCAAGCTCAGGGAGCCCATCCAGTGGTCGAGGAGGAGATTCCATCATAAACAATAACCCTGATGATGCTGAAGTGTTTACACAAGTTCATGTTGACCAACACAGGGTATGGCAGCAAATTCGTTTGTTTCAAAGGGAATTGGATGAGATCATGAATCAGGTTCAACCTATGGGCAAACAATATGACCTTGCCGAGATCTTTTGTGGACCCTCCTCCATGCTGACGCACCAGGTCCAGCAATTAGGTGGCACAGCCTTTCGCTTTGGTCTGGGGCAAGGAGACCTCTCCACCACGGAGGGCAGAAGAAGTCTATATCGTAAGATGGCTTTGCATAGACCCCGGCATGTCTGGCTGAGTCCAGTGTGTGGTCCTTGGTCCTCTTGGAGCCGATTGAATGAATCCCGATCCATGGAATCCCAACAGAAATATCAACAGGATAGGCAAGACCTCCTCTATCAGATTGCACTAGCCATGGTGTTGTATCGATATCAGATATCTCAGGGTCGACACTTTCACCTGGAGCAGCCTCAAAGATCACTACTAGTGCATCAGCCTTCCTTAGCGGAAATTTACCAGCATGCCCAAGTAGCGGAATTTGACCTTTGCCGGATGGGGAACATGACATGTCCCAAAACAGGGTTACCCATGAAAAAGGGGATGCAGGTGATCACGACATTCGAACCAATGTACCGTATGTTGCATGGAAAACAATGTCGACATGATCATGAACATCAACCTATTGAAGGCACAATCATGTTGAAACATGGGCCTGTTTTAAGGAGCCAATACACAGAAAACTATCCACGTAAGTTTGCCAGATCCCTTGCGAAGATCATGCGCAAGGCGGGCTATACCTGGCCATTCAATTGGCATGCAGGCCTGATGGTGGAAGCCACTCAGCCGACTGAGTGTGAACCAGTGTTGGCAGCCAAGAAAATTTCCAAAATCCCCGGCAGACCCATGAATAAACCAGAATATCCCAAATCCGAACTTGTTGAACCAGTCCCCATGTCAGAGGGTGAGGTGAAACGTAGACGGTTATATGGAAAACAGAGCTCTGAACCAACCAAGGAGGAACTTCAGCAGTTAATGCAGGATATCCACCAAAGGGTTCCCCGGGTAGGTCGCATCATACTGCAGGAACCTTCCGTACTCCGATCACTCCAACAGTTGTTCCCCGAGAAGAGGGTAATATCAGTTGTTGCATGTCGGGGCACGGATAGGACCATGGCACCACCCACCAACATCATCCCATCACAAGCCCCTTTCAGAAGATCCCTCATGTTACTTCGACCCAATGGTGACATTAAGTACGAAAAGAACTGGGAAAAATGGGATGAACTATCCAAACGACAGCTGGTACGACCTGCTCATCCATGCCGGATTAATATCACTGTTTTTGCGTGCAATCCACCAGAAACCCAAGGTGGATCAGAAAGTTCTCAAGGACCCATGCAAACATCAGTGCCCGAAATGCCAGCTCGGCCGTCCGAGCCAAATCCTCCGGCCAGCGTAGTTCCAGTTCCCATAATGCCCGACAGTGTTCCGGCTGACGACGCACCACGAGATGACCTGGACCAGACTAGTCAATCTATTCCCAAAATCACCCAATCAGAGAACCCTACAAGACCAATAACTCATGGTGTCCGTTTTACATCCCTGCCCCGATGGGAACAAAGTATGCTTTTGAAGATGCACCGAAATCTGGGTCATCCGACGCCAGAACGCTTGTCCCAAGCATTGCAATCAGCAGGATATCGCGCAGAAGTTGTGCAAGCTACGCACGACATCAACTGTCCCACATGCATGAAATGCAGCCAGCCGAAAGCCCCGAGACCTGCCCACTTGAAGCCTATGACGGATTTTAACCATAAAATCTATTTGGATGGGGTTAATTGGACTAACGGACAGGGTCGAACCATGACCTTCTACCATGTGATTGACGGGGGTTCCAACTATCACGTAGCTTTCATTGCACCCGCGCACACCACACAGGACGTGATCAAGTTGATTAACCAGCACTGGATTTCATGGGCAGGCGCCCCCCATGAGCTACAGGTGGATGCCGGCACGGAGCTGAATAGTGCCGAATTCGATAGCTTCCTCCAGTGTTTTTCAATCAACGGTACATCCGTCAGCCCAGAAGCACACTGGCAAAATGGAAAGATCGAACGCCACGGCAAATTCTTGCAGAGAATGTTGGATAAGATAGATCAAGAAATTCCAATCACCGATTACCAACAGCTCCAGATGGCATTAAACCAAAGCACCCATGCCAAGAATGCCATGATGGTTCACCATGGGTATACTCCTGAATTGATCGTTTTTGGCCGCCAAAGTAGATTGCCAGGTTCCATTTTGAGTGACAATTCCATACCATCTCATGCAGCCGCCACCCAAGAAAGTGAATTCCCAACCCAACAGGAATTCAAGCAGATGTTGCAAGTGCGAGAAGCTGCCCGCAGAGCTTTCCACAGTACCGACAACTGTGAAATCCTCCGTAGGGCCTTGCTTCGGAAATCTTGCCCTCACCGGGGTCAGTATAGTCCCAATCAATGGGTTATGATCTGGCGGGAACCCCGGGATGCTAAGCAGGGTTGGCTGGGTCCCCATAGGGTAATCATCCAAGATGGTAACCATCAACACGGTCAGGTAAACTTTATAGGAGTGCCCCTGAACATGTCCGACTGGCTCATCCTGAAGAGGTCCAATCCGAGGATGAACCCTTGTCCCCGGAGGAAATCACAGAAAAGCAGCAGCAAATCCAGCGCATGTCAGATCCACCAAGTGATCAGACGGAGGTCAGCCCTGACGAGATGGCAGAAGATGACACCATTGCACCACTACCAACACCCGAAAGCCCAAACAATCCCAACATCACTGATCCCTCCTTCATTCGATATCCATCAGCTCAACAACCAGACCAAGAACCAGAGATTTCGATCAGCAGTCAACCTTCGAGCAACATAGAGGTTTCAGATGAAGAAACACTCATGTTCACGTGTCATGAACCTGCTGATGCCGTGGCCGACCTCAGTGCACACGAACTGGCCTGGCGATGCGAACTTGAGGTGAGCCACCCAACATTTCAGGAGATCACCAAGAATGGCTCATGTGATGAATCCCTACTCCTGTTGGCCACCCAAGGCAAGAAACAAAGAACGGAAGTGAGGTTGTCCCAACTCACAACATCCGAAAAAGCAGAATTTGAAAAGGCCAAACAATCCGAGATTAATAATTGGCTTCAGACAGATACTATCACCAAAATCCTGCGTAACAAAATTCCAGCTGATCAAATTTTAAGATGTCGTTGGATCTTGACATGGAAGCCCATTGACCCTACTGAAATAGAAAAACATGGTGGCCGGACTCACAAGGCAAAGGCCAGACTTGTTATCCTAGGGTACATGGACCCCAAGATCGATGAAGTACCCCGAGATAGCCCTACTCATAATAAGACATCAAGGATGCTCACCTTACAGCTGATCGCATCATATGGATGGTCCTTAATGTCATTCGACATCAAAGCAGCTTTTCTTCAAGGCAAACCTCAAGAAGGCAGAACCATAGCAGTCGAGCCGACGCCTGAGCTGAGAGCAGCCATGCGCATGTCTGCAGCCGAAGTTGGTCTCTTGAATAAGGGAGCTTACGGACTCATTGATGCCCCTTACCTGTGGTACTGTGCCTTGGTGAATGAACTTACCACGCTTGGTATGGAAATGTGCCCTTTCGATCCATGCTTGTTTGTTCTCAGGGAATCCAGCGACTCCAACTGTCCTGGACAACTAGCAGGAGTTTTGGGAATCCACGTGGATGATGGCATATGTGGGGGAAATGAGAAATTCCAAGAAGTTCTCCAAAAGTTAGAGTCTAAATATCCCTTTGGGTCAAAAAAAGTCCAATCCTTCACCTTTACGGGTATAGACCTGAATCAACATGGAGATGGCCGCATTACCTTAAGTCAATCTGGTTATGTGAGGAAAATTTCTCCAATCCCAATTGACGTAAACCGCAAATCCCAACCAAGCCTGAAGGTAACGGAAGAAGAACGCGGCCTCTTGAGAGGTTTAATCGGATCCCTTCAATATGCAGCCACCAACACCAGACCAGACCTAGCGAGCAGACTTTCCGCACTACAGTCAGCAATCAATCATGCCACCATTGGGACACTTTGGGATGCCAACCGCTTGCTACATGAAGCCAAGAAGTATCATGACATGATATTGACCATTCGACCAATTCCACCATGGGATTTTAGATTTATGGCTTTCTCCGATGCTTCTTTTGCCTCGAGCAAGAAACCGGATTCACATGCAGGATTAATCATAGTGGGTACCCATAAGGATATATCCTCCAATAAACAATGTCCCATTGGTCCCATCTCTTGGAGCAGCAAGAAAATTCAGAAAGTTGTCACGAGTACCTTGTCCGCAGAGACCACTTCATTAGCAGCAGCAATGGATCAACTGAGTTGGCTTCGAATCTTCTGGCAATGGCTATTAGACCCTTCCACCCAATGGAAAAAGCCGGAAGACACACTTCCCAATATTCCCCAAGCAATTTCAGTATCCACCAAATCAGAAGATCATGATGTAGCCGTTACTGACTGTAAATCATTATATGATTTGGTAACACGGACGGCTCCCCCAGCTTGTTCTGAATTCCGGGTACAATTAGTAGCAAGGGCAATAAAGGAAGCCATGAAAGAAGGAACAACATTGCGGTGGGTACACTCTGGAGCCCAACTTGCTGACGCATTGACAAAGATTATGGCCAGCCACTTTTTGCGAGAGACCTTGAAAGAAGGTGTTTTCAGATTGTGCGATGAGGATTCGACTTTGCGGCACCGTGCTCAGAATCGCGATCGAATCCGCTGGCTCAGTCAAGGACAGAACGAAAGCCAGAACGTCCAGCCAACATAAAGTTTTCACGAGTGTGAATGTCAGCTTTCAGCTTCCATTCGTTCAGGTTCCAATGAATCCTTGGCTGGACAACCGATATCCATGCAGCTATAAGGCTCAGGGAGCCCAGGACGTGGGCGGGTTAGGGAACTAGCTTGACCAATAGCTACTGCTGTAGGATCAGCTCTAGTGGCAATAGGGTGTGGCTACCCTTCCAGTGCTTCCTGGCCTTGCGTTTGCGCATTTTTCAGTTTTGGGGGCATTTTGCCCAATCTGGTATCCATTTCATCTGTGGCGACGGAAATGGATCTTGTGCTTGGCAGTGCAGTGGTGATTTACTGAAGGTGACTGCATAGGTTTGTGGTAACATCATCTTTGGATATTATCATTGGGCATTTGCCCGGCTGAGTGATTTCGACTACTTTTGGTTTTGGGACAGCCGAGACAACAGCAGTTGGTTCAACTACTGGTGATTTACAGATATAATATATATATATATACACATACATACACAACATGAATCTTCCCCCATAAATCGCATCTCTTTTTCTTGTGGCTGGTGGTCAGGCATGGCGGACCTTGCCCATGACATCCTTGATATCGGGCAAGAGGAGCCATCCATGGGTCAAGCTTTTATTGACCACCAATGTGGGTAAGGTTTTTTGACTAAATTTCGATCAATATGATAAGCCATATATGGCTACTAAAATATGATAATCATATGATAATCTATATAAGGCTACTAAATTTTGATCAATATGATACTTAGTCATACGGTAATGTTTGTATATGGGTACTAAACATATTCATGGTAACATCCTATGGTAAATCCCATTTTTGGGATAGGGATTTGACCCATGCCCATCCTTCAACTTGGTATGATTTACGGCAACTGTACGGAAACACTGTCCCAAAGCCTGGGAACGGAACTTTCATGGGGAAATCATCAGAGCATGGGATGGAACTTGGCCATCGGTTGATATGGTTGATGAAGCTCCAAGCTGCGATTTTCTGTCAAAGCGAACGCCATTTGGCCATCTGTTATGTTTCCTCTTCGAATCGGCAAAAACTTTTCCCATTTCTGCTAGTGACACTCCCCATTTTTGTTGGTGATATATATATACATATATATGTATATATATTCAAATCCTTGGAGTGCGAGGATTCGGATGAGTATGATGCCCATGCTGATGATGCTGTTGCTGTTGCTCCCTCAGGATGGCCTATCCTGTTGGGCTGGTTGAGTGAGTTGAGTGGTGATTTCTGGGATTTTGGAAGCTTAAGTGAATGATTTCCAACAAGTATAATAGTTACAATGGCCAAAATAAAGTTTTCCAATACTGATGGGATGATACATAACCCAGAAAAACCATGTTTTGAATATACATATACATTCCATTTCGTCAGTGGCAACAGGCAAATCTTCCCCAGATGGAGTACAATGATTTCCGGCATAGAATGAACAAATACGGGGGACATAAGCAGCAACTATGGGAAGTAATACAAAAGCACGGGTCTGCAGATGTTTTTGATGTTTTTCGGGTCCATGTTGTGGGTTACACATCATAAGATTGCCAAGATAATGAAATACAGGTCGGGACACCTTGAAAGGTCGAAAATTGATGTCACGCCCCAGAACTTGGCTCTCTGAAAGAGGAGCGACAGAAAATCTCAACCAATTGACACAACTTGAGCCACCCAGATACTGCCAACACCATGGCAACGTATCCTTTGTTATTCACAAAGATGTTGCTTTTTCCAATGTTTTGCAAAGCTGAGAAGAACAACTTACACATTTTGTTGATGAGGTATCCGATAGGTATCCCATTCATTTTGTTAAACTGCCACTGTCGCTTCTGGAAATCCAACTTAGGCTCGTGAAATTCCAATATTCGGACGGTGAAGACCTGATGTTTGTCATTTAAACTCTACTTTTTGGTGGTGAAACTCCCATATTTGCTGCTTCAACTCGCAATTCAGCTATAGAAGTCCGTGAGGTGTGTTAATAAGTTTGAAAAAACATAAGGGGCCTAATGGTCAATTTCAAACCTTGTTTTATTTTTAAGGGCCAAATTTATGCTCACCAATTTCTGTTCAGTGCATCCGGCACACATTTTTTGGCCCGGCGCCGCTAAAATGCAAGAATGAACAACCAAAAAAAAACTGATCTCTGCCTCTTTGGGGTTCTTGGGCCTTCCTTTCATTTTATAGGCGTTATAGGCACCCTTGACATCCCAAACATTTTATTTACTGCACTTGTAAGCAGGTTTGGGTATCACCAGCTCTTATGTTGATAGATAGAAAGGGCGGCATTTTTTTTCGGGAATGCTGCTGCTTCGACATTTGATGCCTGTTTTTGGTGTGTTTTTTTTCTTGGTTGATTTTTTTGATCGTGGTGATCATCATTCATGGTCGTCATTTTTGGTGGTTATCATTTGGTGGTCATTCTCCAAACTATTGTCGCCCACCACTAGGTGTCTTGGATGACGACCATGGTCGTTCTTTGCCTAAGCGGGTAAACCCATGGTCATCAAAGTGTCGAAAAAACAGGAATAAAATGATGACCATATGGTGACCACGTGGTCATCATTTTAAAATGATGACCATGGTCGTTCTGGTGGTCATCTTATGGTCATCATATGACGACCATGGTCATCATTCCAAAATGATGACCACCAGTGGGGTTATGGTCATCATTTTGGTCGAATGCTCACCAGAACGCTCACCAGAACGCTCACCACATCCCTTTTGGTCAAGTTTGTTTTTTTTTGCTTGTGTCATTTTTTAAAGAGAAATTTTCAAATGCACCGGCCCAGCCATGCCGACAGATACTTGGCCAACTAAGATTCCTCTCACTGTTAGCGGCAGTGAAGGACAAAAAACGAACTTGTGCATTGTATGGCAATTTCCTCCTGGTTTGAGTTGGTGGGGTGGTTTTGCCTATCACCACCACGCCGCGCTGATATTGGGAATGGTTTGACATAAGACCTTGAGGGTATGTCCATATTAACGCTCGCTGTCGCTGTGTATGTGCAAAAACTTGCTGGTGGTCAGTGATAAGCCTGAACAGCTCATATGGGTAAATAAACAGTGGTTTTTGGTTCACTACCCCCCTTGCCCGCTCACCAAAAAATCCCAGCCGTAATTAACAGGGCTCACGGACTTGTATAAATTCAGCTGATAAAAAATCCAGTCTCTGTTTCTAGAATTTGACAGAATTCCCAGTTCCAGCATAAAAAGTTAGATTTTGCTGCTGCAAACTGCAATATTTTGCTGCAAACAACCCAAGGTTTGCTCGTGAAAATCCAAGTTTTGCTGTTTACCCCCCATTTTTGATTCTTTTTTGTGCCACTTTTCCCCTGACACCGCCCCACCTTACCGTGTCCTCATGCGCCTACCATGGCTGGGTGCTTCTGCGGCTCTGGCCCTTGCTGTGGTCGTCGTCCGCAGCGACGTGCTGTGGAACGGCGGACGCAGCGTGCCGCTGCTGAACTGGTGGCGCGCCAAAGGCTTTGAGCGGCGACAGATGGAGCAGATCGACCTTACTGGGAAGGTGACGAAAGGGGCTGGATGGGATGGGCTTTTTTAGTGGTGAAACTGGGGAAGATTGATTTTTTAGATTGGGGAAACTGGCATGGTTTGGCCAAATGTCACCTTTTGGATGATGGTTTTTGGGAATTTGGAGGGTTTCATGGTGATTAGTGTGAACATGATCAGAAAACCATGCAAAACCAACATTTTTTTTTGGGATGGTATTATCATGGTAATAAAATCCGGAGTTTTTTTTGTTGGGAAGAGAATTCATTACCATAAGTGATTATCTTGAAAGAAACGAGGCATGGATCAGATTCGATCAAGCTCCTAGACGCTTCACCAAGTGAAAGGTTTGTAGAATATTTTGGTGGTGGAAAGATGGGGCAAAAAGCGATGCAGTTTCTGGGGATATTTTATGGGATATATAACCATCAATAGTATTTTTATTATATAGCCATCAAGAGCAAGAGTATTTTTGGATATTCTTGGTGTTTGTGCAAAAATGGGTTGGATGTGCGTCCAGAAAATTTTGACGATCAATTCATGAGTGGTGAGGATGACCCATAAATGAAACCAGTGGTTCAGCATAAGAAATTTCAGTTGCAGCACAGCCTGAATTCGAGAGATTTTTCAAAAAACCAACAGGGGTTGTCTCAAAAGGTTTAGAACACCTGATTTCTCCACATAAATTGGTGCATAGAGTTTGAGACATATTCTTTGGTTGAGACACCCACATCACATCCCATTTCTTGTGTTTCGTGCGCTCAAAACCATCATTTTGGCATATTTTGGTTGGTTAAATCTTCATTTCCCGTGTTTAACACCAATTTTTGGTTTATGACATCCAATTCTTGTTTGTAAAATCCAAATTTTTGCTTGGTTAGAATCAATTTCTTGCTAGGATTAAATCCAAAATCCTTGTAGTTTTTTAGCTTCATTTTGGTGAAACCGTCTTATGTTGGAGTCGGATCCAAAAAATCGTCAGTTCACCCGTTTTGTGCGTGAAAATCCCAAATTTTTGGTTACACCTCCAAAATCACAGTGTTAGTTAATCCCAATGTTAGTTAACTCAATCCCATTTTAACCATTTTCGATTTTTGGTTCACCAGCTTTATTTTTGCTGAATGTTAGTTAACCCAAAATAACCAGCTTTAGTTCAAAAATCCCAAATTTTCTTCGTTGAAACAACGGCGTAGGTGGCCTTTGTCACCGGAGCCTCCACAGGTTTGGGCCGCGAAGTGGCCATGCAGTGAGGGACCAAGTGGCCCGGGGCAAACTGGGGAAGCAAAAAGGGGGGATTTTTTGGGCACAAAAACATTAACTTAAGGGAGGATCGTTAAAACCAACATTAATCTGTAAAAGGGGTGATTTTTTCGATCTTTTACAGATTAATGTTGGTTTATAACGAGGCGAGCCAGAATGTTTTTTTTTTGGTGGGTGGATGTACTATCTGCAGTTGGATGGGTGAACTAATCTTCATAAGTTTTTGGGACGCCAAACTATGTCAGGATGGACGCTAGAATTTCTAGTGGATGACTTGGGGATATTGGAGGTGAGAATACAGTGTGGTTTACATCCACAACTTGACCTCAGATGTTGATGTTTTCAATCCCATCTGGCTGAATTTTCCCCATTTTTCTCGGGTGACATCGGCCATGGAGGATGAACTCCCGGTTTTCGGCCAGGTTGTCCCGTGCCAATGCCAGCGTCTTGGTCGGCTGTCGCGATGTCGCGAAGTGTCGTGGAGACTTCGGGGAGAATGCCATGCAGTTGGACCTGGCGGACAGCGGAAGTGGGGAGTTTTGGGTGGATTTTTTAAGGCGAAAATGGGGGAGGAAGATTTTTCCTAAAGTGTTTCTGAAATGTGGGCGAATGCAATGAGCATGGGATTTAAATGGCATTGGATCAGGTGAAAATGGTGGCGAAACCGAGGATGTGGGATTTGCAAATAAACACATTCCAGACCCATTTTGACTGGAAAGTTTCGAGACTGTTGAGTGAAACAGAAGATGTTCAACTATTTTCCCATGAAGACTTACATTTTTCATGGGGATTTGCCATGACCGGAGGCTACTTTAAGGCGTGGCGGCGGTTGCTGCCGAGTCCGGCCGCAGGATTTGCAGCAAACCGCCGCAGTGGCGAAGAAATTGGCGACGCTTCCAGCGCTGCACATTTTGGTGACCTGGCGGATGAAAAATGGAAGATATTTTTGGGGTTGAACAAGTTTGAAGTATTTTTTGGCGCCCAATTTTTTATTTTGGGGGGATTTGTCAAGAAAAATGAGGTTTACCTCAAAATCATCCAATTGTTGGTAGGTTTGAATGGGGAAACCAATGATTTTCGGAGGTGCCCCATAATTTTGAGAACCAATTGAAGTCCATCATGCTCAGAGAATTTCCGACATCCCAATTTTCCGATTTCGTTGTGGTTGAAACCATTCCAAGTGCCATGGATTGCAGCGAGGTGAACAATGCCGGTGTTGCCACGCAGTTTCCCTACAACCTCACAGTGGATGGCGTGGAAACCACGTTTCAGGTTGTGGATCGGGGAAACGAGACGAGAAACCACTGCCATTTTTTGTTGGTTCAGTGGGATATTAATGGTATATCCCCATTATCCCCATTTAATGGGATAAAAGTGGGATATTAATGGGATAATAATGGCATATATATGGTATATCCCCATCTAATGAGATAATTATGGGATATGAATGGGATATGGATTTACCTTTCCCCACCAGTATATCATCTACAAAGAAGTACCAATTACCCTCCGGTAATCAAACATGGCGATGGAAAATTCACCATTTATAGATGATTTTCCTAGTTATAAATCTCCATTCATGGCCAATCGCCAAGTTTGATGACACCCGAGTTTATCCCCAACTTTTGATTGTAGTTGATGATGTATATTTCATTACATGTCCGTTCATATTCCATTCAATCACCATGTATTCGTATATTACTTTTTCATTAATCTTCCCAATATTCCCAAAAAAAAATCGCATCAAAAGCAGGTGGATTGATATTTCTACTATAATCATCAGCTTTATCCCCATTCATTTCCCATGAAATCACAATTTTTCATGGCTACCCTCTGGTAATTTAACATAGCTATGGAAAATCACCATTTTTAAAGGGAAAATCCACTATAAATTGCCATTTTCAATAGCTATGTTAGTTTACCAGAGGGTAAGTCCCATGACCCTCGAAAGGTGAACTACTTGGGCCATTTCCTGCTGACTCAGCAGCTGCTGCCGCTGCTCAGTCGAAGTCCCGGAAGTCGCGTGGTGCATCTGACCTCGGGCGCGCACCGTGCGGCGCCGGTGGAGGGAGTGCCGTTGACCTTGGAAGGTGGGAGCTGGGGGTGATGGGGGTGATGGGGGTGATGGATGTGACCAGATTCTGGAAACTTCTTGGAAACTTCTTGGAAGGGTTGGGCAATGTTTCGTGGATTTTTTGATTTTCTGGAACCGCTTTTTGGGGGCAGATGGAGTTGATGGTTGCTGGCCAAGATTCCACCATTGCAATGGCCAAGACTCCAGATCCAGCAATTTTTTTGGGGGAATATCCCCCAGCAGTGCCCAAGGTTCGATCATTTTCCCAGCGAATAGAAAAACCTTCCATTTGTGGTGGATTTTCCCAACACATTTTTTTTTCCCCCCTTCATCCATCACAATCATCACGTTGTTTGCCAACATGCCAGGCATCAACGACAAGAACATGGGACCCTACGTGACTCTGCAGCGGAGATTGGGCCATGGAAGAAGTACCTGGGGATGGTGGACAATTCTCGTTGTGGGCTTATGGGGGTATGGTAACCCCCTAAAAGATGCAGAAATGCAATTTACCATTGTATATTTTGGGATTGTATTTCACTTTTCTATTTTTTTTGGGTTGCTATCCAAACAATGCGCTGAAGATGGGGTACAACTGGTTTACATGCATGGGGTTTATCACTGCCCAGTACTTTTTTGTGCTCTTTGTGAAACATCGGGTACAATCCGTGAAGGTGGAGATTAAACAACCCATATTTTTGATATACCATCCGGTTATTTAACATAGCCATGGAAAATGGCCCATAGAAATAGATGATTTTCGCAGCTAGAAACCTCCATTTATTTTGGGGATTTTCCATGGCTATGTTAGTCATAACCAGATGGTAACATTGGAAGAACATTAGAATCATCAACCCTGGAATCCACATTTTCGGTAGATCTTCTAATTCTCTGATGAACCAAACCATTGGACGGATATCCTGCCGTGGCAGGTGCGCTATGGCACGGCCAAGTTGGGCAATTTGTTGTTGGCCCAGGAAGTGGATAGGCCTGGAAAAAGTGGGCAGGATGGGGAGAGAATGGGCCAAAATTTAGGAACTGGGGACACATGGGAAATGTATGGAAATGTCGTATTTTGTGGTGGCCCAATTTAATTCCAATGTCCACAAACTCATAACTTGTACTGTCAGTTACTGTCTTTCCAACGAAATAGTTGATTCATTCAGGTTGCCCCAAAATAGTGATAGTCAAAGGTATTCAGATGGTACCCCCGCAACTAGTTACAGCCCAGGGTTTGATCTGGGGCTGACATCGAGCAATAGTTGGAACTTCTCGAGTCGGTTCAACATCTGGGTCTACTCACTTTTTAAAAAGCCCAAAATCGGATGGCTCACCGATGAACCCCCCAATGCCTATTGGTTAGTTGAACCATGATTTTCTGTTCTTTTCTATCAGCAAAATCAACATGAACTGTTGATTTTTGATCTCCAAAACCTGACAAATTCTGATCAATCATAGAATTGGATGATTTTGTCAAAATTTTAACCGGAAACCCCCATCAAATTGATGGTGTAAAAACCCATGGGTTTCCTGTAGTTTTCCCCAACAAACCAATCCATTGACTCAAAAATCAACATCAACAGATTCCTGGGTTTTTTCTGTCTTCAAACATCCCTGTCTCGAGGCGTGTGGGCCATCGTGGCGTTTATAGCAACGCGGTGCATCCGGGAGTGGTGGCCAGTGAGCCTTGGGCGATGGCTGGAGACCAAGAGAAATGGGGGGATTTGATCCGGAAAAAAATAGGGATTTTACCATGAAAAAAGGGATTTTACCATGAAAAATTGTGATTTTATCAAGAAACATGGGGATTGAAGTATTCAACATGGTTGTTTTAAGATGATTTAGCTATTGGACATGGAAGTTAAAGATTTGAATCATTGATAATAAACATACTTATGGATGTTTTTTTCCCACTGGCCCACTGATGGGTTCTGATTGGTTCTGATTTGTTGATATATGAATCACTCACACTAATTTTTTACTATCAATGTCTGTTGACATATTATCCAATGGTATACTAAACAGATAGATGATTTATTATCGATATTATCCAATGGTATACTAAACATATAGATGATTTATAGCCATTATAACCTTAGATTTCCAAATAAATCGGAACATATTTGCTCCAGAAATGGCATCCACATCCGCCGGTCTTTCGGAAATGGTCGAGGTCTGGTAGATGATCCAATGATCACCTGTGGATGTACTTAAATAATTTGTGTACAATTTTTATTGGGATTAATGACATTAATGATATTGGGATTTTTATCATCATCTATAGATGATCATTGGGATTTTTTTAAATGTAAATCCCAATCTATAGATGATCACCCAATTTTTGCTGCTGAAACCTCAGTTTTTTTCCTTACAAGAAACATTCCATATTTTCCCCGTTACCTTCTGGTAAACTAACAGTTTGCTATGGAAGCCATGGCCCTAATCGAAATAGATGGTTTACCCATTAAAAATGTTGATTTTCCATAGTTTTTTGTATGTTTACCAGAGGGTACAATGTCAGCATCTCCTTTTTTCGGCGGCCTCAGGAGATGCTGAGATTGCCCAATTTCCAGGCCATGCTGGGCCCATGGCTCGGTCCGGTGGCGTACCATGCGGCGCAGTGGCGGAATCGATTCTTCGCCTACAGCGTGGAAGAGGTGTGGCCAGAAATGGGTTGTAGTTTCCACAGCGAAACCTGGTGATTTTTGAAGAATGATGGCAAAGCCGGCTGGATTATGGGGACGCACTCCACCTTCAAGTTAGATAGTGGTTTAACAATTGCTGGTTGGTGGTTTCAAACACGACTTTTATTTTTCCATTTCATATATTAGGGATAGTCCATCCGAAACCCATTGAATTCACTCCATCATTTTTCAAGATGGGTTAAAACCACCAACCAGAAATCCATTTAACATAGCTATGGTTAAAATGACCCAGTCGAAATAGTTGATTTACCCATTATATAATAGCATGGTGATTTTTCAAGATGGTGATTGATATTTTTCAAGATGGTGATTAGTTGAACCGTTCTTTGGACATACCTTTCACAGCAACCAGCGTTGGAGGCGGCTCTAAATGTCCTATACTGCGCAGCGTCTCCCGAGATCGAGGCCCCCGCCAAGTTCCTGTTGATGAGGATGGGAACTTAGTAATCCTTAATAATCCCTAATATAGTTCATATTCCATCTATTCCAAGTCAAGCAAACGAATTAAGGATATGAATTTGGAGATATTCATATATATTCCATATTTCCATGAATTTGTTCATATCCTTGACATGTCTTTGGATTAATTTGGATCAATCTCTCCATGTTGAATGACCTGAATGACCTGAATTAGTTGGGACCCGCAAGATGAACCGTATTGGGCTAGTAAGTAGTTTGTACCCCAGTCTCACCTTCGTGTAGAAGAGGCCACAAGAGGCTAATCGCTGATAACCGTTCCCAACTCATGGATGCTGTCCCCAACTCATCCCGGAGATGTCTAAGTTTTTCATCAATTTTTGTGGATCATAAACCCTGTAACTTACATATATCATATATTCATCCAATCCACAATTTCAACATATTGTTTTTGGGATGTTAAACAAACCATTTCTCGCCCATCTCTCTGTGCATTTCACCACTTTTTTGTGGTCAAAACCATCATTGTTTCCAATTTTGGGTGTAATTTTCGTAGATTTTTCAGTGTTGGACCACCATCTTTCCCAATTTTTTGGTGTAAAACCACCATTTTTCCCATTTTTTTGGTGTAAACCCAGCATTTCACCCCGGGTGCCCCTTGGGAGGCGCGCGACCTCCGTGGCGCGTTGATCGTTCCGCTGGCGCAGGTGTGGCCGCCGCGGCATGCGGCGGCGGAGACGGGACATGGGCGACGGCTCTGGGAGTTCAGTGACTTGGTGATGGATTGCTGTGGGGAACAGAACTATGGTTGATATCTATATTGATATCTATATCTATATCTATATCTATATAATATATATATATGGGATATAACTATTATTGATTCATGAGAATATAGCTATTAATGGGAATATTGTACTTATATCTATGGGTGATATCTATGGTTGATATCTATGGGTGATATCTAATATCTATCTATATATATATCTACTTGGTGATACATATATATATATATATCTATATATACGACTCTACATATATATATAGTACATGGTTGATATCTATGGTTGATATATGTATATCATTATATCTATATCTATGGTTGACATATATATATATATGGTTGATATCCTTCACTATGGTTGATATCTAATATCTATCTATATATCTATCTATCTATGTATGGGGTATAACTATTGATGAGAATATAGCTATTAATTGGCATATTGTATCTATCTATATCTATATCTATATCTATATTTATATCTATACCTATATCTATGTCTATATCTATGTCTATATCTATATCTATATCTACAGTATATCTACATAATCATATATATATATATATATGGGATATAACTACTGTATTCAATGAGAATATAACGATTAATGGGAATATTGTACTTATATGATTTTTCATTTATATGGAATCTCATGGGAATATAGCTGTCAATGGAATATTGTAGGTATGGGATAGATAACATAAATGTAACTATGGAATATGACCCTAGTTAGGTTTATATAGTGAAATACGGTAATTTTGGGGGATATGACCTGGGACGGGGTCTCTTTTAACTATATATATATTCACCCCGCTTCGCGTGGGGTGGCCGCCCACACCGCAGGTTTATTTCGGTCCGTGAGAGGGGCTAAGGGTGGTTTTCCCCCGTGGGGGCTCCCCAAGCTAAGAAGTTTCACTTCCCCCCCCCCGTGGGGGGCTCCCCAAGCTAGGGAATTTTCACTTTTCCCCCCCGTGGGGGCTCCCCAAGCTAGGGAATTTTCACTTTTCCCCCCCGTGGGGGCTCCCCAAGCTAGGGAATTTTCACTTTTCCCCCCCGTGGGGGCTTCCCAAGCTAGGGAATTTTCACTTTTCCCCGCCGTGACAGCTTCCCAAGCTATGGAATTTTCACTTTTCCCTCCCTTGGAGGCTCTCCAAGCTGCGGAATTTCAAATAGCTAGACAACGACGCCTAGATAGTCCCCCAAATCCCGTGTTCTTTGAATGTGTTTCCATGTTTTTGCAATGGTTTCCTTCAAAGCACGGTACTTTACACTTTTGTCGCCATAAAACCGGTCGAAAACATCATGTTCGACAATGCTTCCAATTCCCTTATCTCCCCAACCGTTGAAAATACCGCTATTTACAGTGTTTTCTTCAATTTTTCCATGTTCCAATGCCGGTAGCCAACTCCAACATATATATAAGAAATCCTTCCAAAACATTGTTTTTGACAGTGTTTTTCCAATGTTTCCAGTCAAACAGACGGTAATTTACACGTTTTTTGCCATAAAGGCAGTAAATCCTTCCAAAACATTGCTTTTGACAGTGTTTTTGTAATGTTTCCAGTCAAGCATACGGTAATTTACACGTTTTTTGCTATAACGTCAGTCCAAAACACTTGTTTTTGCAGTGTTTTCAATGCTCTGGCATCCAAAAACCCTGCAAAATCTTGCTATGTACAATGTTTTTTTCATTTTTGGCCGTTTTTCCATTGCCGGAAAGCTACCAAAATGACCCAAAATTCCATTTCAATACCCTCTTGCGCTCAGACACCCAAAAATCCTCGAAAAATGTCGAAAACACCACCGTATTCTGGTCTCGGTGCGAAACCGTTTTTGGGGTCTGGTCTCGGTGCGAAACCGTTTTTGCCCCCCCCCCCCAGCTAAAGCTGATATAGCGACTGCTATATTAACAAATGTCATTGAGCATTTAGTGTTGCTGTTGCCCCCCAATAAGCACGCCTTCACCGCCAAAGCGGTGTGGGCGGATATATATGAATAGGGTGAAACTAAAGCGCATGACGAATCAGAACTATAGTATTCATGAATATTCATGAGGGATATGCTATAGTCAGATTTAGTGATATAACTGACTGTTTTCTGAATTCTGAGGGATAAGACCTGTGGGTTTATGGGGCCCACCTAGTTGAGATTGAGCAATTTAAGCACCAAAAATGGTTGGTATTCACCAGCAAAATGGTTGAAACTTAATGGGAACATTGGGAACATGTCGAAATAGATTTTAACCAGCAAAGAATGGAGTTATGTGATTTTGCACCGAAAAAATAGGAATTTAACAATTGAATTGTGGAAATCATGAGGGCATTAGCCAACAAAAATAGGGGTATAGGAAACCAAACACAATGGAGATACAACTGAACGAAATCACCAATCTTATGCGGCGATATGCTGGTAAACTGTGGTAAATGGGAGGTCAACTTGACAGTTTTGAGCAATGGAGGAATATGATATTCAGCCACACTTCAACGCGACTACTTTGCACAAATTTCAAAGGCAATGTAGCCATGAATGTTTGGGGTTTCTCCAAAAATGGGCTATCCAAATCCAGAGGTTTAATCTGCAATGGAGATTTTATCGAATTGGATCATGACATGGATTTTCAATCAACTGGATACACTCCAATTCTTCATCCGGTGTTTAAAACCATCATATTTACCAGTTATTTGGCCATATCTTGGAAACAATCCCTTTGTCCCTGCCCACCTTGATCCCCAACCGACGATTGGATCAGGTGAACAGCTTGTGGCCCAAAGTGGCCGACGAAAAGAGAATCCGCGGGGCGTGTGGCATGTCCTTTCTTTGGGTGTATGCCTGATATTGTTCTGCGAAAATCATCTAATTTTCGAATTTTCTGGTAATTTTGCTTGGTTCAAATTCGCATTGTTGGCCGTTTTCTCTTAGCTTTTATTGGTGTTCAATCACCTCAAGTTCATTCAAAGTCCCAGTTTCAGCTTCAAATCTCGACATTTTCCATATTCTTCATATTTTCCATAGGATTTTCATATTTTCCCGCATATTTTCCATAGAGTTTCCATATTTTTCCCACGCCTTCCATCGTTTTTCCTCCGATTTTAGGGGCAGAACACCGGCCTCATCCTAGGCCTTGGGCTGCCTTCGGGGTGACGGCGTGGTTGGCGGCCTTTCGCGCCAAGTGGATCGGGGGTTTGCGGCTGGAAATAGCTATGGAATCCTATGGTCGTTTGGGGATGTTTACTATAGTTGAGAATATTTATAGTTGGTAATATTTAAATGTACTAATATCAGATATCACCAGCTATAATTATGGAATATCAATGGAACCAAAAAAAAAACCTGGTTGGTGATGTTTGGAACCATGGAATTTGATTATGACTTTCCAGAAACTGGGAATGGAATCATCATCCCAACTGACTTTCAGTCCATCATTTTTCAGAGGGGTAGGTGGCTCAACCACCAACCAGTTGGTGGTGTTTGGTGATGTTTGGTTGGCAACTGAAGATCTATGTGATTTGAAGGACGTGTTTGGTTGGTGAAATTCCAAGATTTGGAGCTGCTCAAAATCCACTTCAAATCCCGATCCTCGGCATTTTCCTCGGCATTCCAAGTTCTATTTTCCTATTCCCATTTGGGCTCCTAAACTGCGACCTTTTGAAAACCGGGAGATTTCACCACATCCCAGGGGTCCAGTTTTCGTCCCAAGACCTGTGGTGCCTCTGGTGCTGGTGCCGGTGACCCTACCGGTGACCCACGCAGAGAGGTACCTCTTCCCCTACTGCGTGGATCTCATCTTGGTGGCTTTCGTCCTGCTGTGGCTGGCAAGTCGACAGCTCAACGGGAAGATCACCCAGACCTTTGATGGTTGAGATGGTAACCAGGGGCCAAAGATGGCCAAAGCACCTATTTTTGTGGGTTGATATTGACATACCTTCCATGTTTATCAATTTTTGGGTGTGTTGACACGCCATCCGTTTTTCTTGGGATATTGCGTATATGTTTTGAGTCAACATGGAGCAACCAAATCCTGTGGGTCCATTGATCGCCCATGGGAAACCGATGATTTAGAGCTACCCTACCCTACGACATCATACGCCCCATTTTGCCACATCAAAAACCTCTAAAAATGCCACATCATTTACGACATGATAAGACCAGAATTTCGATTCAGTAGATGGGTTATCCCCACTATAATATGCTATAACTTGGTTAATGATGGTTAATAATGGTTAATAACCATGGTTAATCTATCCCAATATCTCCCAATTTTCATGACTTGGACAACTTGGACACACGCCATCGCTAGGTGTTTTCGCAGCGGTCTATGCTCGTTTCCGCATTGCTGAGCCCACCTGGTGCCCATCCGAAGTCATTGGGGCATCGCGAAGCCGCGAATTCGATGGATTGTTAAGTGTAAATAGTTATACAATATACTATATTTATATCATATTTATGGGATATTATGATATAAAAGATATAAATATCATCAATTTATGAATGATGATATTTATATCATACCCTCTGGCTATGACTAACAGTTTGCCATGGTTTTTCGATGGCCCTGATCGAAATAGATGGTTTACCGAACTTAATAGCATGGTGATTTTCCATGGCTATGTTAAATAACCAGATGGTATCAATATACTATAGCTCTATAACCATTGGTGAATACCAATAAGCAAATGGGGTTTGATGTATCAATAGCAGCAAATTCGGTATGCAATGTGGAAACTCCAAGAACTGGATGTTTGACCTGTATCTGTAGAGATGGGAGAGTTAAGGAATAGTCAACGCAAGCCGGAAAGATCATGAAGGAGAACGATACTGAAAAGAAAAGTGCTGAGAAATTTGAACATTAGGCAAAAAACCACATGAGAATTCCAGCAGCTTCTGTTTACTCGCAAATGTGGATGGCAGCCATGCAGGTACACCTACCTTTGTTGCGCATTGGGTGTTGCAGTAGCCGAAGTCTCAGGAGCCTTCCGACCAGAAAACCCCCGACACCATGTCACCACGTCGCCATGTCGTTCAATGACACATGGAGCGCTTTTAGGGCAATCCAGCCCTCCGTCGCTTCAAATTCTGTGAACCATGGAGATTTTACACTTTGACCTTCCCACAAGTAGTGGATGAAGCAAAAGACATGAACCGTGAGAGCTTCAGGAGGTTCCACATTTTATTTTAGATGAACTTTTTGAATTGTGGAACCATCTAAACAGATTTTTCGGATGCAATTTTGGAGGTTTCATGCCCAGCTCTTGACAGATACCAAGGTTGCTGGACCACTCTGTGGTGACCACATCTTTCGTAGTTTCTTGGACTGCAAAAGGCCAACAATTCACTTAGCCATCATGTGGTGATCATCACTTAGCTCGTTTTCGTCATGTGATCATCACCCCAGGATTTCTCAAACCGTGGATTACCCACGCAGGGTTTGAAAGACCGTGGATTTCCAATGATTTCCATCCTTGAAGCACTGACCTGGTGAGGTCTGACGCAACACTACTACCGTGTGGGTGATCTGAAGGTGGAGATGAGAGCGAAGAATACCCAGTGGAATCATTTGGAATGAAATGCACAAAACTAATTGTATTAATTGGATTGTACTGGAGGAATCAAAAATACCAAAGCTTTTAGCAGCTGTTTTTGGATCGTTTTTTGATGTTTGTTGGCGCACCCGCCAGGGGCAAACCACCATTCTTATTGGCCAAAGCCAAGATTTGCTTGGTTCATCTATCATTTACCAAGATATCCCGTTGAATCCCGCTTCAATCCCATCAAGTCCCATTAGATCCTATATCAATAATCCCATTAAATTCCCATTGATATTATAGTCCATATTAATGGGAATTAATGGGATGATATATTCCCAAATCCCCAGCCCGGTCAAGTCCCATATCAATAGGTCAATAACCATATCAATAGTCCCATTAAATTATATTAAATTCCCATTAGATCCCATGGTTATTGACCATTGATTCCCATTTTTCCAAAGTATTTCCGTTGTGTCAACCTGTCAGCGGACGCGCCAGACCTTGCATGGTGTGGATGTCGCAGTGGACAAGGGCGATGCCATGTTGGATGCCTGGGGCACCCAGGGGGTGAACGTGGCTGTTGGATACCCTCCAGCAGTCAGTCATATGGCAATGGCAAATCTCTGCACTAAATGGAGGATAACATGGTTGATGGAGGTTGATGGAGGGTAAGTCAACCATTTATAGCCATGATAATTGAGGTTTCTAGCTGGGAAAGTCATCTATGGCCGGTTGATTTATACATGATATCCCAGCCAGCCATGTTGGATTGAGGGAAATCACAGTGAAGAGCCACCAACAAGATGGGCACAGCTGTCTTGATGTCACATCCTGAACTGACTTTTGTGGTGAGGTGGCAAGTCAATGTGTAGGTGCGTGAGAATCAGCCACGACACCATGAAATGGATGTGCGTGTTCACCATGCCACGTGTTCATCGCCATAGCCGCTTTGGTTCAAGTATAGCCGTATAGCTCGTAGCTCGCGAGATCCCACGAGGATCGAATTTTTATTCCATATCCCGTCTTATCCGTCCAAATTTTGCCATGAAATTCTTCAGTTTCGTTGAATGTTTTATCCTCACTTGCCTTGGCTCATATCCCTTCTATGCCATCGTCAACTACAAGCTGGATCCAATGGAAGACTTCCGTTCCTGCAACGAACCTTGTTTCTTCATTCGGAAATTTGGCACTGAGGCATTGCCTGCAACAACCCCGGCAAATTTGAAGCTGGACTGCAGCAAATACGAGGACTGGTATTATTCCTGTAGCGACCACATGGCGTTCCCAATCTTTGTTGCTGTTGAGAACGGTCGCAACTTCTCAGTCGCCTCTTTTCATTTTGTCTGGAAGAATGCCGTGGGTAAGGTTGTTGAAATTGTTTCGGGCTTGTGTGGTATGTGGGAAAAGGCAAGCGACTGGCCAAGCCCAGCAAATGTCCACCAGACCGATTGTGAAACAGAAAGCGTGCGGGAGAAGATTGACAATCACCTGAATACAGGGTATACCATCCCAATTTACAAGGTTGGTATTGCCGGGTGGACATTCATGAAAGTTTTGCATGATTGGGGTTTGCTGGCAGATGTGCCAGAAAAAATCACGCTCTGGTTGGGCATTTGTTCATGGAGTTTTCAGTTGGTTGCAACCTGGGCAGCCTTTTCCTGGGGCGCCTCCGCCGCCGAAGTCTTCATTGCAAGAGAAACTAACGGTGCTTGCTTTTACCAACTCAAACCTATTCAAACCTTCACTGCACTTGGAACACCTCTCCTGCTCCTAAGCCTCACTCACTTCAAGCTGAAGAACTTGATGCTGTCAGTGGTCAATGGCGACTTCTTATATTACAAGTCTTACGATGTGCCATACAGAGTAGTGAAAGCCACAGCTGCAGAGGACCCTCTGCTCACCACTGGGCTGCGTGGAGATCCAGGTTTTCCCGCCGCGCCATATCAGCAGCTGACCTTTCGCGAGATGTCCCGCATGTCCAATTTCACATCAGTTCTTACCATTGTTTACTTTTTGATTGTGGTGTATCTCATTTGTCCATTCGGCTTTGGAAACCTTTTCCTGCGCATGACAGAAGTGGCTGCGAGCCACGATTTCTCTTGGGACCCGGATGGCCTGATCAAATTGGTCGCTCTTGCAGTTGCTGGCGCTCTTCTCATGTGTCCCGCTCTGATGCTCTTACCCTTTTGTGAAGCGATAAAGGAAGGCGACTGGATACTAGTACTATTCCGGCTTCCGGAAATCCCTGTCTGGGCTTCCACTTCTCTTGGAGCTTGGCCAGTCTTCCAAGCGGTTTGGCAGAGAGGCACAGACGAAGCCGAGCAGCGTTATGAGTGGGGCACAGACGAAGTCGCGCAGCTTTACGAGTGGTACCTTTGCGGCATCTCGGCCGGGTACATGGGTTTCTTTATCCTCCATATGAAGCACATGTATCCTGCACTCGCAGTGTTGAGGTCATACAAGTTTCCGTTTAGTCAACGAGAAATGCTTCTGGCCGAAAGTGACCGCTACACCTCTCATGCTGAGCAAGTCCTCGAAGTGTTCAGCTCCCAGCCGGAGAAGGTGAAACATCTTCGACCCCATGACACAGAGAGCCATGCCCAGCTTGAGACTTCTGATGACGACTCCAGCAGTGGCACAGATGGAGTTACAGCCTGCTGGAAAGTGAAGCATGATTCCCCATAGATGGCTTTTGGCTGTGTCTTCTGATGTGACATGTCAGAATCAGTGACGACACTCTTGTGGCTTGAGACAGAAAATACGAATGTGGCCCTTGCAGCAGCAGTCTTCACCTGGGTGAATTCCATGGAATTCCAAATTTTTGTTGCTTACCAAATAACACCTCAAAATGTTCTTTTTAGGACTATTTGATATTCGCAAATCATTCACAAATCACCAACTAAGATTAACATTTAATATCATTTAACCCATTTTTCTCCGATGCGCGTTATTAAATGGGTCATTTCTTATGGGAACCGCCTTCGGCTAACCAAACTAGGCTGGAATCGTGGACTTCGCGCAGGGCAACTACCTGGATGGCATGAGGAGCAGGGATGACTGCCATGACTGCCATGACTGGGGTTACCCGGCCTGGTAAACATACAAAAAACTATGGAAAATCACCATTTTTCATGGGAAAATCCACTATTTCTATGGCAATTTTCAATAGCTATGTTAAATTACCAGAGGGTATCTTCAGCTGTAACACGGTGTAACTTTGTAATGACTCATAAACAGAAAAACTGCTAGAAAAGTCATGAAAAATCCATTCTGAGACACTGAGAATATCACCTCATATCACCTCATTTAGGGAGAGGGAAAAACATGGCCAAAACCCCCACAGGGCTTGGCATTTCAAGCACCACACCGCCTACTGCGTGGCGCCGGTGGTCACCAACCAGACTGCTGGACCTGTCTCGGGGTGAGGAGCTCAGCTGGGGAGGAATCAATGGGGATTGGTGGAGATTCATTGCTGAGAATTCATAGGATTCATGGGGATTAATGAATGGGGGCTATTGGTGGCTATATGTGGCTATGGCATCTGCTTAAACTATAAGACATCAAATAGGCCGCCATGGATACCCTGGTGAAATGCATTGGATTATAGCATGGGAACAAGGAAATGTATTGGGGGTATCAACCTACATGCCCTGGCAATTTAACGGGAACATCATTTAGAAATGTGGATGTTGATATGAAGATCCAATTCTTTAGTCGATGTTTGTTGTGATTCAATTGGGATGTTGTCGGGATCTCCACCGTTTTTCTGCGCCATTTCCCCATAAATGGATGAATTTGATCCACCGTTTTGGATCACCGTTTGGGGATTTCATGTGGCGAAATTCGGATGGTGATTTCACAACATGATGGGAATCGAGGATTAGTAAAAGGGCCAAGAAGCGATGTAGAAACTGCTAGTACTTGGTACCTTCAAAAAGAGATATGTATATACATATACATGTTCATGTTCATATATATATATAATATGTATATATATATGTCTTCATAGAGATGTAGGCAAAGTACTGGTTTTTTTCCATGGATCAAGGCTGACACAAGTTACACTACCGTTGCGATCCAATGATCCTGCTGGATATTGATGACATGTACACCAGCAAAATCTGGAGGCATCTTCATAGGTTGCAGTATCTAAATCTTCCGAAACTCATATCCCTCACCATCTCACCATCCAAACTACCCTCTGGTTATGACTAACAGTTTGCCATGGTATAGATGGCACATAGACATAGATGGTTTACCTATTAAAAATGGTTATTTTCCATGGCTATGTTAAATAACCAGATGGTATATTACCATCGGAAGTCTTGATGTCACAGGAAGGCTCGAAGAGGAAGTCCTCACATGCTGAGTTGCTTGACAAGAGTTGTGTCACGTTCCATTGGCTTACTGACTTGGGTTTGGCAGGTCCTATGATTTCTGGGCCGTTGGCAAGTGCAGAGCTCAGGTTCACCAAGATTTGAGGATGCTGACCGATGCTGACCTGGACAGTGGGGCAGCGTTTTGGACTCACAATGGCTTGGCCATGGTCAGTTTTGAGAAAATGCCACTATCCCGTTTTGTTGTGTATATTGATTACTTTTATATTTTTTTTATATGGTGCTTAAATGTGCTTAAGTGATTATACGTGTAGATTGATTGTTGAAAATGCGTCTTGATTGTGGTATTTTGTTTGTTTGAATGATTCGTGATCCCCACACACCATGTTTTTTTAGCTCTCCCACTACAGTAGTATGACAATATTTTTTTCTAGATGCTTGAGGTCTAATAGTGTTTCCACCTGCGTATGGGGTGCTGAATGGTTGCTGAATGTGCTTCTTGACCAGCTGCTGCTTCAGGAATGTCTAGACCTGAAACTTAAAGACAGATCACGCATTGATGGCAGGCGACACCCAAAGAAGGCAACAAAAATATATGGTTCTTTTCCTCACCAATTCAGAGGATCTTGACATTCACAAGCGTATTTCAGGGCACTTACATCGAAATTCATGTGCAATATGTAACATTATGTAACCATATTTATATGTTAACACTATTTACATGGTTACTAATTTATGTTAACCATATAAATATGTTAACACTATTAGATTAGCCTTGCTTTTCCCATCCCCAACCAGTCTAATCCCAACCACATCCCCCCATGGATCGGTAAAACTTCGATGCGTCGCCATGGGGAAGCGGAAACGCTGCGTCGAAGTGACCGAACTTTCGGATGGTCCAAAAAGGGTGGATGAACACAGCGTGCACCTTGGAAGGCGATGGTCAGAATGGTGATGTTGGACCCGCAGTTTACCCTCTGGTAATTTCTTACAGTTTGCGAACTGGAAAATGGCCATTTACAATTGATTTTCCCATGAACAATGGTGATTTTCCATAGTTTTTTGTACGTTTACCAGGCCGGGTATCTGGTTTTTCTTTGGTGAAACTTCATTTTTGTTGAGATCAACTGCCAAATTTGTCATGTTTCTTGGCTGAATTTACCTGAGATAACTCCAACAAACTGGACGGTTTCTTGGTGGACATCCATTTTGTTGCCATCCCTGGAGTAATGGGAAAACCATGGAGTTGCGATTTTCAGCAGATATCCAACATGTGGATTGACCACCCAAAATTGGTGGGATTAAAGCAGCAATCATGGGTGGATTTTACCAGTGCATATGGGAGAGATGTTTTTGTGAAACTTGAAACTCAGTTACAGAAAATATTGCCATTCGAATTGGACAAATGATTTTGTAAACTGGGAGTTCAGGGTGCGCCCATTTTCAGACCCCTGATAGAAACCATTCTTAGCAATTAGCTGCTCCCATTATACCCACCCCCATATAAAAATATTCAGTTTATTCGCATCATATCCCTGATAACATCCCATTGGTTGCTTTTATCCCATCAACATATTGGATAAATCCGCAACTTGTCCCCATCAGCTCTCCATCATTATATCATGTTATATCCATAGTTTTGGTCGGTTCAATGATATCCCCATGTAACGATCACCATATTTTAAAAAAAAACATTCTTAACCATTTAGTATTATACCTATTTTTCCCAATCATGCCAATTGTTAACAACTATTAACCACTATGAATCATCTATAAAGACCCTTAACCATTATGAACCACTCTTACCCTCTGGTAATTTAACGTAGCTATTGAAAATGACCATTTATAGTGGATTTTCCAATTAAAAATGGTGATTTCCAATAGCTATGTTAGTTTACCAGAGGGTAATCATCATCAACCCATGATATCTCCATCAACTCATTTTCGAGCCCGACTCACATCCGCGACAGGCTTCCGCCAAGTGTCAGCTCCAAGCAGCAGGTCGTTGAGGCGGTGCAGGTGCGGATTCAAAAAAGGGATGACGAAGGCGAGGATGGGGATGGTTTCCAATACTAATACTAATAATGGGTTGATAATCTGGTTGATTTTAGGATTATACTGATCACAATTATACCAATATACTGATTTTGGTTTCCAACTGAATAAGCATGGATTGTAGTTATCCACTGATTTTCCATAGTTTTACACAATGGGGATGGTTTCCAAAAGCGTTTTTTTACCCATAGTTTTATGAATAGTTATCCAATTTGACCAATTTTGTAGAAACTATGGATAACTATTGATAAAACCAATCAGCAACTATTGATAACTATGGATTTGAGGATTTGATGAAACAGAAATAGTGTGAGAGTAATTATTATAGACCAATAAACGTTTTGTCATTTGTGGATGGTTTTCCAACAAGAAACTGATTCAATATTTAAGCCAATAGATGAAGTAGATATATTTATGCCAATTAAATATTGGCATTTCATCAAGGACAATTTGGGGATGATTTTCCACCGGGTCCAAAGTTGGACGAGTTACCCAGATTGGAAGATGGTCATCAATGCATTGATCGAGATCTTTCCAAAGCCATGCTGAGGAACCCCCTGATGATGGCACATATAAAGGATACCCATTTTTATAAACATGCCTAATCATGGCTTTCCTAATGATGCCTAATCTATAGTTGGTTCATGTATGGTTTACATACCACATACCATCTCTTGACCATGGCACATTCCTATGGAATTCTGCAGGAGTTTGGCCAAGCGGTTCATGTACATATTGAGGACTGGAGTTTCGATGGATGGGAAAGCTGCCAGCTCTGGCTGGAAAATGGTTTTGGTTAAACATGTTCGAAGGGAGGATTGTTTTCATTTGGTATCCTTGAAACATGGTAATACATGTTAGAACATCCTTGTTGTCTAAAATTAGAAGGGAGGATGTTAATATTTTGAATAGCTGAATAGTCTAATAATCTATTTACCCTCCTTTGGCATTTAATATATTTCATATTTTGGGCATCCGAAAGGAGGGTCCAGGTATCCTCCGGTCTCCTAAGCCGCCATCGGATGTTTCAACCACGGCCTCTCCAACCTTGACAGCAGAACATCCCAGTGGTTCTGTCGCCGTCATGTTTACATCCCCCACTATGCACATATCATGCTAATGGTAGTTTGTTTTGGTTACATACCGATAAATGATCTCAAATTAGTATTTCCGCTTGTGGATTCCTGGTATCTTCAATTTTAGATATTTTTTTTGTTGGCCAAATCCACATCGTTGGACCAATGGTCTTTCCCCTTTGGCTCATCATTCTGGCCCCCCGAAAATTGGTGGGCTGCAAATTGGTTTGGTGTGCATACTGGAACTATTATTGGGTTCACCTCAATCATCTCCACCCATAGTTGGTTATTTCTAGACCCCTTAAGCACTCGGGCACCGTTCCCGGCAGTATCATCGCCCTACTATAAGAATCATGTTTGGCTGATGCTGAATTTCACTGGACTACTGTAGTCCACATCCATCTAGAAGGTTTCCATTAACTATATTCCACATAGTAAGGTTCACCATTTTTTTTAAGCCATCATACCCTCTGGTAATTTAACATAGCGAACTGGAAAATCACCATGCTATTAGTGGGAAAATCCACTATTTCTATAAAATCACAATATTTTTCAATAGCTATGTTAGTCACTACCAGAGGGTATATTCCATTAAGTGGATTATAATCCCATTAAACCCCATGGAAAATCCCATGGAAAATCCCATATTTTTGTTAGCCATCATAATTATAGTGATATATTTCCATCCCAAAAAAGAACATCTCAATCATTCCGTTGGAATATTTGGTCCATGGTCCATATCCATCGGACTGATATGTTTCCAGTTACAGATAATTTTTTCCATATCTCCATATGTATCGTTCATGGAAACAGTCCATCTATTTGGGCTAATAAGCATCTAAAATGGTCCAGCAACAAATATATTTCCATTAACAGATACAGATGGACTATTATAGATGGATGATTAACTTAGATATATTTCCATTAACATTTTTTTTAAAAGCAACAGCAATAGTCCATGAGCAGATGAGACGTATTTCCACGATATATGTACGACGATTATATTTCCAACTGATATAACCATCTATAATAGTCCATGAAACACATATTCCATATATTAGATGGTTGTATTAGATTAGGGATATGATATATTATGGTACTATTATCCTTATGTTTAGACGGTGATGATGGATAATTAGGGATATTAGATCCATTAGGTACTTTATAAATATCATAACCATCTATGAATAGTCCATAATCATCTAATATTTTCATATAATAGTTGTCCATGGATGGAATGATATATATCATTATATATCGTCCTAAATGTTTTGCTTATCATAGCCCATATAATTTACTATCCATTTATTATCCATTTATTATCCATTATTATCGTAGTCCATATGAATAGTCCATTAACTAGTCCATATTATTCCATATATTAATAAATATATCATCCATCTATATAATCCATTATCCACTGATAAACATATATTTCCTAAACTCAATGTGAGTTCGACGGCCACAGGACGACCTGAGCCACGGCTTTGTCCATTTTTCCACCCGAAACGCGGCGGAAGCGGCGCTCCGAGCAGGCACTTTGCGGCGAAAGATGGGGAGTTCACGGCGAAAAATGGCGATTTTCCCGTGAAAAATGGAGATTTTACATGATTTTACCATAAAAACGAGGATTTTAACATTGAACATGGTGAATTTGACTGTGAAGAAATGGGTTGAACGATCGAAAATTGAAGATCTAACAACAAATCTGATCCAAAAATCAATACTTGAAACATTAAAAAAACAAATAACAATGACATTTCGGGATTTCACCGTCAGTTTTTTATGGCTTTTTAAACATCACATTTCTGTGGAGAAAATTGGGGATGATTTTGATGTTGCCAAGAGTTTCGGTGACTGATTTTTTTTTCCGAGTGATGAACTTCTCCATTTCTTGATGTAACATTTTGTTTCGATGTTTCGTTTAATGATGGAACCATCCCCAATTTCAACATTGAAATGGGGATGGTTCATGATGGCTAGAAAAACATTCATTTCGGTGGCATGAACACCGACAAAAACCCAACTATTTGGAGCAGGGTAGCAACAGGATGACTTGACAGGCGGCGTGCAGATCCTCCAGCATCATGTGGAAATTCGGGAAGCGAAGCCGGAGGACTGGGTGGAGGATTGATGGGTTAGTCATTGGAAGTTACCCGGCCTGGTCAACATACAAAAAACTATGGAACGATCCACCATGCTATCAATGGTAGTAGTTACCCACTATTTCGACTGGGCCATTTTCCAGTTCGCAAACTGTAAGAAAATACCAGAGGGTAACCATCATTAACCATTGATATCCCAGATTAGGAAAGCATTTTCACCATCAAAAAAACCATTGGTTACCGTCATTTCCAGGCCGGGTAGTTTCCTGACTGAACGGGATGACCGTTGGAACCGTTGGGCCATGATGGTGGCTGGCTGATGGGCGTCGGGGATATTTCCCATGGGGATACAACCAGCAAAGATGTCAAAGAGGGTAAGGAGGTAACTCACTATCTCAGCTAATCTGGGATATCAATGGTTAATTATGTTTTTTTTTGGGGATATCAATGGTTAATGGTGTGTTTGAAAATGAGTTTTTTTTTTTTTTAAATCAAATTTCAGATTTTGATGGGTCAGCCAGTCAGCCATGAATTTTTTTTGGCACCATAGGTTCAAACAAATCTGGGATGTTTGGATCAGACTTTGATTGGGATGGTGCAGAAAATTCAGCTTTGCCACAATGGGAATTGAATTAATGGAACGAAGAAGAAGCAACCAAGTCATGCTAGCGATTTTAAACAAGTAAATTAACTAGAATACCAGAACTGGGTGGTGGTTTGGAACATGAATTATATTTTTCCATTCAGTTGGGAATGTCATCATCCCAACTGACGAAGATATATTTTTCAGAGGGGTAGGTATACCACCAACCAGAGAATATGGGGCTCTGTCAAAATGGTGTCCAGCTTTAGAACCACAGATCGGGATGAACATTTCAAGTATCCCTCTCAATGGGCTACTAACGGCCCTCCAACATCAGCACGCTGAAATCAACAGCCCGTGTAATGGTGGGCCACAATAGCAGGACATCAAGTCTAGGCGTCTCCTTGTTTGAGTTTCCCTGGAAAACCTCTCGGAGTCACACTTTGGTCCACTTCATTTCGACATTGGTCGAGGATGGAGAGGATGATGCTTCAAAAACCGAGAGCGTCTTGCAGGAAGGCTGGATTACTGTGGATTTTGCGAAGTTTTTGGGTCTCAAAAATGGGGGATGGGCCCCCGAATTTATGGTCATTTTGAGCAACTTTTGAATGTCGAACACGATCGGGGGAAGCATTTTCAGACATTGGCAGAATATCCCTAGTGGCCCCATTGCGCCTGGTTTATTTACCCTCTGGTGATTTATAGCCATGGAAAGATCCACCATTTTTAATAGGTAAAACATCTATACATGGTCCATTTCCATGGCTATGTTAAATAACAAGAGGGTAAATATTTTGAGTTGAAATCACAATTTTTGGATAAAGAAATCTCATATCAATGAAAAAGCTGGTTGCAGGCCCACTTTTGCTGAGTAAAATTGCATCATTGTCTTGCTGGGTGGTTACATCACCATTTTGGCAGCCATCATGCTATTTTTTGCGCGCATAAATGATGGGTAGCAATTTTGCGGTTGGAGAAAATTGGAATTTCACACCAATTTTGGGACAATATCCACATCAATTTTCCCATGAAACCATTCTACTCTCCAATTTTCCTAGGTGAAATCATGTAAAACCCCAGTGAAATCATTATAATCTCTTAATTTTCTAGGTAAAATCATCAAAACTCCTTCATTAAACCACTATAATCTCCATTTTTTCCAGGTAAAATCCACATTTTCACACCTTTTTTCGAGCCGCAGGTGAGGAGTGCTTCTACTGGCGCGGTCGCATGGAGAAGTTCCGCCGTGGCCATGGCTTTCTGCGGCCCCTGCCAGGCGGCGAACAGTTGCCCGGGAGCAGTGTGGAGTCGACGATCCAGCGCGGTGTCTATGTGTGGCTCAGCACAAGGAATATATATGTGATAATAGTAGATATGGCTATGATATTATTATGTTATATGATGATATCTATATATGTTATATATTGTTATATCATAATATAGATATCATATAGATATCATAATTAGTATATTGTATATATGTTATATTATCATATTGTTTTTATTTTATTTTTTTATCATAATAGATATGGTTATCATATATCGTTTATAGATATCATAATTAATATATGGTGGTTTCCTGAAATGGGGGTACCCCAATGGAAAATCCATGACAATCCCAATCTATAAATGGATGATTGGGGGTACCCCCAGCCATTAGGAAACCTCCATATGATTATATAGATATTTATGAACATATATGATATATTATATTATGCATTATGAAAATTCTGATATATATAATAAATATTACAGTAGGACTATTGAGTATACTACAGTATTTCATATATGATACTATTGTAGTAGTACTATAGTGGTATATTATTATATCGGATTATATGTTTACCAAATTGTGTAAATATTACAGTAGTAATATACTAATATACTACTATACTACTATCATATTACATAGTATACTATTATATCATAGTACAACCATATTATGGTTATATATTACAGTACTAATATACTATCATATCATCTTTACTATACTATTGTACTATACTCTTTCCATGGAAAATCAATCATCGAACTGCGGCTCGATGTTCCAGCCATGTTTGATGACAGCTGTGTATGCCTTTTTTATCCATTTTGGAAACGGACATTTTGGATGCGTAACAAACACTAAGCTCCTATAACTGGCTTTAAGATCCCTTGAAATGGTCGTTGAATGGCGAGTTCTTCATGTCAAATCAAGGATGACTGGCCAGCTTGGATTAGCTCAGAGTATTTTCGGAGGGGGTGAAAGATCACTTGAAATCATTGAGGAAGGAACCTTTGGTGGTGGGCAGACTTTCCTGCAATCTTTTGGTGTAGTACCTACTTATTTGATCTTTTTTGGAACTTCAGGGAATACTGAGTGATTTTCATTCAAACTGTTCATTCAGAATGAACACCTTATCACAGACAATCATATAAAATGGCCATCAGCACATGGGTAAAATCAGATTGTAAAGGCCATCAGCACATGGGTAAAATCAAGCCAGTTTCCGGTGCAGATTTTCCCGAAAGCGATCCATTGATGCTCACTAATGCTTTTATGATGTATGGTTATGTCATATCCCTGTATACATATATATATATATATGTATACATACATACATTTTTTGGTTCAACACCGATTTATCATTATAGTTCATCATCTTCAGTGACTAACCTTTTCCGCATCAATCATGTTTGTTTCTTTTCCCATTTTTTCAGGGTTGATTTGATGAATTTCAGATAAAAATCTGGAAATCACTGGAAAATCACTGGAAAATCTGGATATAATCCCATGATTTCCATGAATCCCATAATTAATCACTGAATTTCTGTGATTTCCCCCGTTTTCCCGGGGTTCTCGTCATTTCCAGCCTCCCCAGCTCGAGGTCACCAGCGCAGGTGGACCGTTTCGACCTGTCGGACGGCGACGTGGTGGGCGCCCACGTGCGGCCGCCGCGGAGCCAGGAGCAACGCTTCGGGGGCGACTTCCAGGGGGAGGCCGATGAACAGTCCTGGGCAACTTGGAGTTGGATGATTTTTTTTAAATCTGGTTGGTGGTTTGGAACATGAATTTTATGACTTTCCATTCAGTTGGGAATGGAATCATCATCCCAACTGACGAAGTCCATCATTTTTCCAGAGGGGTTCAAACCACCAACCAGTAATCACCTTTTTTTAGTTTTTGAAGTTTTTTTTTTTTCAGAAGGATGATCATCATAAGATTGAAATATGTTTTATTCTTTTTTGGGGGGTTGGAGGATTATGTATATATTATATATGTATGTATTGACAGCAGGAAAACTCGATCGTTTTTTTCGGAGTTTGTGTTTTTTTTTCTGATGTTTTTGGATGTTTGGTTGCAGGATTAGTCTTTATCAACAATAAGAGATACATATATACATATATATATATGAACTGGTTACTTTTCCTTTTTTTTTGTTTGAGGATATTCTTACTGTCAACAATGAAAACTGGTAATGACATGCTTATCCAGTTAAAAATGATCACATTATTGGTTCCTCCAAATATCTCCCCAAGAAAATCCCCAATTGGTAAACTAACATAGCTACTGAAAATGGCAAATTTATAGTTGACTTACCCATAAAAATGGTGACTTTCCATAGTTTTTTGTATGTTTACCAGAGGGTACTATCGAAATCTGAGAGAGTTGCGCCCTGAGTTGGGGCCCCCCAAAGTTTGAGCCAAGTCTTTTTGCCGAACTGGCAAGGCTCTACTCCACGTCTGCGACGTGAATGGAGAGGACAGCGCCCAACGGAAACGCCGCTGGAGTTGGGACGAGACCGAAACCTTCGAATGGACCGGGATGGTCGAATGTTGGAGGCCGGGGGGCTGCTGGTCCCGAAAAAGGGTGGGGAACATGTCGGGTTTCTAGCAGCATTTTGAGGGTATGATGGAAATGATTCATCTCCGAAACCTAGGATTTTAAGTCGTAGCATTTTACCATTTTTGATGAACGTCCCAAAGCATGTGGATTGCCCGTCATGCCCTGGAATCCGCTTAAAACTGGCATGACTTCATGAGATAACATGTTATATAGTCATGATTGATGATTGTGATAAGAATACACATGTATATCAACAAATATCTACATATATATCTACATACATTTGTATATACATATACATATAGATACTGTAGATACATATACCATCTGTTTATTTGACACAGCCATGGAAAGATCCACCATGCTATTAATAGGTAAACCATCTATTTCTATGGGGTTCGACGAGTGGACGCCGCAGGAAAGACGCCCATGGATTCCTGAGACCGTTGGCCAAAGATCTTCGGCCAATGGATTTCAAGTGGATCCCATGAATTTCTGGGTTTGTTCATGTGAAAATGGTGAAATCCATGGATTTTTTCAACGTTTGTGGTTTATGAATTGGTTCAAAAATCATAAATCCAGCATTTTCCACACTTTCCACACTTTCCAACAGCGTTTTTCCACAGCATTTGGCCCATCACCCCAGGAAGACCGGCGGAGTGTGGAGAATCCCGAAGTGCCAGAGGCTGAGATGGGCGTTTTCCTTAGCCCCAGCTGTATCAACAACCACAAGCTACGTGATGGCGATGTGGTGAAGGCAGTGATTTGTAAAGATGGTGGAAAATCCATGACACTTGGATGATGGCAGCGTGGGAGTGTTTTTTTTGTAACTGGTTGGGTTGTTTCAATATTTCTCGACACTTGGAAAGATGACTGGTTGGTGGTGACTGGAACCATGGAATTTGGATTGACTTTCCAGAAACAGTTGGGAATGTCATAATCCCAACTGACGAACTCCATCATTTTTCAGAGGGGTAGGTGGCTCAACCACCAACCAGATGATGATGGGGTGGGAAGTGTTTCATGTCTGTCATGTCTGTATTCATTGAGTGAAAAACCATACATTCTTGGGATGATTGGTGATGACGTTTGCATCATTTTTGGGGCTTAAAACCAACCAGGGATGTTGGAAGATGGGGATTTTCACTATGGAATCATGGCATCGATGCCCCTGAGCCTTCGATGGTTGTTGAATCATCATTTTGGTTGGCAACATCCAGATCTGTGGATAGTGGATATATGTGGATATCTATCCAGGTTTTTTAGGTGAATCCCCAAAGGTTTGGGGTTGTTTCACTGTCTCCAGTTGGCTTGTTTCCCCAGAGCTTTTCGAAGATCTCCATCTGTGGCCTTTGAGATCCATCGGATCCATCATTATTCACCACCATGAACCACGATTCATCACATTGAATAACCATTAATATATTAATTTAACTGGCAATAACCACTATCAACCATGATTCACCCATGATTCACCACTATTCACCACTATGATTCACCCACTATGATTCACCTATAACATGTTCAACATGTCCATTTCATCCGAGGATTGTGCGAAAGGTTCTGCACTTGGAACGACGTTCTCAGGAGCTGCACCTCAACGGCTGGTGCTTTGTGCTGGAAGGTGTCGTAGAGACCTTCAGCGAACGCGTGGGAGGCGGGAAAAACCCTGCTTTTAACATGGAAAAAGAGCTGGTTTTTCCCATGGAAAACCCTAAGAAAACCCATGGAAAATCCAAGAAAACCCAAGGTTTCTCCTAGGTTTAGTAGAGTCTACATAGGTTTGATGTTCCACATTCTATGTTTTCTCTAGGGGCACTTGGGGGTTGATATGTTTCTTTTTGGGGCACTAAATGGGGACCATCCCAGCGAGTAGATGACGAGCCCCCGCAGCTTTTGCAATTTGTAGTGCAATTATCTACAGAACCAATATCCAAGTCTAGGATACCTATAAATGAGTAATTCATAGTAATATCAGTACTAGATCCTATATAATATATATATAATATAGATCTATATATGTATATATCTTATATCTTATATATTATATATGTATATTATATATTATATATATACATATATGTATATTATATATATGATAGTTTTATAGATTCTATAAAGATATCAGCAGTCCGTTGATCCAATTCTTGTTTTACTTTAGGCCACCATGGGCTTCCAAAGCTTCCAACGGCAACACGAGGCTACGGGTTCCTACGGCCTGCGGAAGATAGCCGCGAACTTTTTGAATCCAAGGGCTGTGCTGAAGGATCGCCAAATTCCAGTGATTTCACGGGTAGTTTATGGGGCACAGCATTTTTCAGCAGACCCAACTGTAGCAAATGGAGTATCAAGTAGCGTAGCCAGAAGAATATTGGATTCATGTCAACCCTGGACTAATAAACTCCGTTTACGGCTGTTTATTGGGAGGGTACCATAGAAGTATCAGATTATGACTATTGGAGGAGTACCCCCCTAATTGTCATAAACCATGGTTTAGCAAAATCCGGGGTTGCCAACATCTGTGCGCATCCACTGGATGGGTCCCTTGGTGAACGCCACAGCTGCATGCAACGAGGACGAAGCAGTGGACTTGGGGGTGCATTCTTAGATAAAACCGATATATATTTTTTTGATAAAAACCACATATCTAAAGTGGATTGGTTTTCCAGGGAAAATTGAAACCGGTCCATCAGACAAAATACCGATGGTTTCCGGTGAACCGATTTTCCCAGGAAAAAAACCAATCCATCGAAGCTCCTGCCAGGTGTTTTCATCTATCCCGCCCAGATCCGAAGGTGCGGTAACTGCCCGGGCTTAGCCTCTCCGGTGTCAAGGTTGGCAAGTTGGGAAATCCCCGAACTAAATGGAGCTGGAAACATATCATTTGGGTATGGGTCAATACCTATAGATACATTTTTAGTGGGATGAACATCCATTTACCAGCTATTTTGGGGTTCACTAGGTACCAGGGTTTTGACCCATCCCCATTTGTAGGAAAAACCTCCATTTAGTTCTGGGAAAAACATTTGTGGGAAAAAAACATCATAATTGTAGGTTAGCCTAAGGTGTCAAGGTTGGGAAAATCACCTAGAAATGATGTTTTTCCCGGCTAGCTCCATTTAGTGTGTAGCTCCTATATGGGACATTTTTTAATAGATGTACCACAAACCATGTCCCTCCATCACCTACAAAATCACCTATTCATGTCCAGACTATGTTCCATTTTCAACTTTCGAGATTTTCGACCATTTGCCAAGACTATTGAAGGAACAGTTCGGTCTGAGTTTTTCTGGTTCATTTCAGGGGCCATTGGGCCCATGTTTGAATAGATCCAATACTCAACCAGCAAGATTTTTGGTTCAATGGCTAAGATTGGGAGTGAAGCTCAACCAGCAATCTGTAACTGAGATTAGATGGGTAATCAGTTGATAAATGGGTTATAACCCATATAAAACCCATATAAAACCCATATAAAACCCACAAAAATCTCCACAGAAATGATGGGAAGAAATGATGGGAATTGGAAAACTCAGCTTGGTAAATTGAAAAACCCTAGGAACATGGTGATTTAATGAGGGTTTATGGTGGTTTAATGGAATGTAATGGGATATACCCGGCCTGGTAAACATACAAAAAACTAGTGAACATCAGCATTTTTAATGGGAAAACTCACGATTTCGACTGGGCCATTTTCCATAGCAAACTGTTAGTCATTACCAGAGGCTATTTTTATTCAGGCACAGAACTCATAATTTAGCAAAATCTGACGACATTGGTTAATCCTATAATCTTGGCATTATTAGTGTTAGTACGAGAGTATCACTTTATCGTATCAATTATCACCATTATCACCAAGATTCAAACATTTTTGGATTTTTTTTTCCAGAATAAGTATCATATGATCATCTAATTATCATTACTATTTGATTATAGTTATTATCTAATTGGATGATATTATTGCATAGTTATTATGGATTCATGGGCCCAACTTTTAATACTCACTCATAATATTGGTGTCAATCCACTAATTACTGTCATGATTATGTAATTATCAGTATATTGGTGATAAGTTATGATGTCAATCAATATTGCTAATCACTATGATACTGCAATAACTATCATTATTATTTGATGATGAATTATGATCTATATAATTATCATTGATATCAGTAGTATACTATATTAACTTATCAGAATTGCAATATTAATCCAATTAATCATTGCCAACTGATGATACTTATAGTTATCAGATATGGTAATGCCGATAAATATACATAGCTGTCATATTATCATCTAATTATCATTGGGTTAATGAAATGAATAATGTTGGTTAATGATTAATGATGGTTAACATTAAGAATAATGTTGGTTCATCATATGTCTAATAATGTTGGTTAATTAATCTTACCCTCTGGTAATTTAACGTAGCTATTGAAAATAACCATTAATAGTGGATTTTCCCATTAAAAATGGTGATTTCCCATAGCTATATTAATTTGCCAGAGGGTAATGTTGGTAATCACTTGTTGAATCCACCAGATATCGCCCCTTCTGCCGAGCCGATGCCCTGCACGCCAAACGCGCCAGATATCGTCTCAGCGACGGTCAACGCGTTGCTTGGAGCTGATGAACCGCCCAGGAGATGTTCGAAAAAGGAGGAGCTATCCCTATTTTGTATGGGATACATTATGGATTTATGTGGGTTTATATGGACTTATAGTGATTTATATGGAATTTATATGGAATTTATATGGCTTTAACAATGCTGGTGTCCTGAAATTGGGGACCAAAAGGCCACCAAAAGCCCCATGATTGCTGGTCCATTTCCCCAAGTTTTGATAGCTAGTCCACCACATCATTGGGGCGACTAGTCAGTAGATGTCAGTAATGCTGATATGTGACATATCCCATGTGTAGTTCAAACACCCAGCATGACTCAGCATGACTGGATTTCTGTTATAATTACATCCCTGTTATATCGTAATCCCATCTGGAATGATCATATTTCCCAGTATATCCGCATTAATAACCATGATCCATCATCATTAACCATGATTCACCATGCTATAACCATGATTTTCCCCATGATTTTCCCATGGGTTTTCCGTCTTTCACGATGAGAAAACCCAGGTGGTCGCTCGCATCTATCCCGCCGAGCCCCCCGAGCGTTCACCCAAGCTGGTGGACATTCTGCCGGAGCCGTGGCCAGTTTTTCGGTGGATTTTCTGCCATGGAAAGATGGAAAAAACCATCTATAAATGGATGGTTTATGGGATGGGTACCCATCTATAAATGGATGGTTTATAGCTGGTTTATCCATTAAAAAATCTATGATGGATGGTTTATGATGGATATCAAAAAATGGATCTATAAATGGATGGTTATTAATAAGTTTATAACAGAAAATCCATCTACAAATGAATGATGATTGGGGGTAGCCCTTATTTTGGGAAACCACCAGACGGTTTCGGCTGATTGTTTCTCACATTTTTCAAATGGGTGTAAGAGAACCATCCAAAATCCACCCACAAAAAGTTGAGACACCATCTGAACCATCGATGGGTGTATTCTTGTGAACTTAGCATGGATACCACCTGTTTTACAGGGCATTTCCGAGACTTTCGAAGCCAAAGCACCAAGAGTCGTCGTCATTTTTTTGGAGCTGGAAACCCATGGTTTTGGCCATGTGATGGCCGCTGAAAAACAGGCAATGACGGGATAAAAATATTTGGGTGTTTTTAATGGTCTGTTTTTTGTGTGTTTTTTCCACCAACAATCAGACAAATGGCTGAACGTGATGTTCTCAACCATGTGTTTTTTTTGAGCGCCTGCAGAATTCTTGGACCCAGAAATGGCCACACATAAAATTTACACCAAGGAATCTGCCCTTTCAAAAGGAAGGCATTACCATCACCATTTCTTAAAGGGCATGTCTACATTGCTCAAGGTTTTCAACTTGTCATTTACCAATCAACTTCCAAGGTCGGTCTGTAGACTCACTCAGAAAAAACTGTTGGCAGTTGCTGTTTTTGACCTCCCAATAGATTGTGCGAATGGTGGGTGACCCGGAAATTGGAGGGTTTCTGTTTGCAACAAAGACAGCCACAGAAATTCACCATTTTTTTGCCATCAACTTGGACTTCGGGGCCAAGCCTTTTATAAATCGGGGTATTGTCTTATCGCAGTTGGAGTTTGTCACAAATCGAAGATGGAATTTTGCTGATGAACATCTCCAGTTGGTAGTGTTTGGTAATTTGTGCCAGTTTGCTACGGAACATCAGCATTTTCAACGGCAAAATCATCGTCAACAACAATTTCCTGGGCCATTTTCATGTTATCAACGGTGGGTAGGCCTGCCTCCTTGATGTTCTCAGGATGAACAAGAAGAAGATGATATTTGGCAGCTGTTGGAGAAGAATGAGGAGTTGATGGGTCAATGCCTTGACCAGAAGAGTTGTTTGTTGGGAAAAAATGTGGATCTAAAAGTGCCGAAGAATCCGGATCGGGTCACCAGCTCCAAAAAAGGAGCGGTCGAGAGATGTAAAGCAACAAACAAAAATACAAAAAACTATATCAACATATCATAGTATCACATTGAGTATTGATATACTATGACTATGAGTATTGTCTTACTATACTCATGTGATACTAAATGGATATCATATTTTGTCTTATCACCGTATCACCGTATTTTTTCTTTAGGCCTCAGCGACAGGAGGATCCCAATGCCGACGACGACGATCTGCCGCCGGAACGGATCCGCAAATTGCTGGGCATTCGCATGCATGGCCGCATCAGTCGTGTGAACCTGGGGAGGACTGGTTACTACGGTTCCTTGGGCCATGAAAGCACCTGGAAGGGGGAGATTCATGGGATTTAGCCATTAAACTGAGACTGAATGGGATATTGGATATGAATGGGATGTATATAGTCAACTGAATATGATTTTTGTCTGAAAATGGTGGATACCCCCAGTTATCACTATGAAATAATGGGGAACGTGATTTTTTCACCAGTGGAATGAAGGACACTTCGTCATTTTTCAGAGGTTTGTTTCTGATCTCAACATGGGATTTTTTCTTTGGGAGACGAAGTAAGACGGGACTGGAGATTGCCATTTGATCATCCTGGGTTCGTGGCTTTAGCGAAACTGCCGAAATTCCATCCTCGAGTTCCTTTTTCAGAGGTATGATCCATCTCTGACTTACCCTTTGGTAAGCTAACATAGCTACTGAAAATGTCTATTTATTAGGTCTCAAACCCCATTTCATCCAGTTAGAAGAAGTTAGAATATCTCCAAAAATCGTCATGGCGATAAAAAACGGGGCCCCATATGTAATTTTGTAGCGAAGTATAGTGGTTGTATGATATGTCATACATATCCCGAGAATACAACCGTCGTGATATACCATGATATACCATATAATATGTTCATATACCACAATGGGATGGATATATATATATATATAACATAATATCTATACATATGTATACAATATGTATATTATATATATACTATAATCTATAATATATATATATACATATAATATTCATTCTTTCAATGTTGTTGAATCCCAAGAATGAACCGTACCCCACTGACCCAACAGACGGGAGGACACCATGGCAACGGATAAGTCCGCATTGGCAGAATGGTGATTTTCATCCCCATTTGGACAGGTTATTTAACAATGGGTAAGTTATATAATAAAATATAATATAATATAACATAGGATAGTATAGTATAGTATAGTAAAGTATAGTATAGTATAGTATAGTATAAGATATATATACATATTAATAGTAGTAGTAATAATATTTAATGAGATATATGATATTATATAATAATGGTCTCACTTCCCGTTTCTCTCCCAGGTTTTTTGAAGGCTGACCATACAGACATCCCGGAAGAGGTGCCAACGAAGAGCTGGTGATTTGAACAAATTCAGGGGAAACATCATGACATATTATATTGTATTATATATTATATGATTAAATCATTGATATAGCCAATTATAGCCAATTACTATATGTATATATATATATATTATACATTATATGATTATAGCCAATTAAGTGTTCATTTGGCATCAAATCATTGACTTATAGCCAAATTATTGAAATTAACAAATCAGTGATGAATCCATCAATCAATGAATCAATGGTGAGTTCCCGAGTTCACATTGAAGTCATGACATGATTGGTGGACGAATTCGGCATAAAATTGGTGGATAAATCCCCATTGGAAGTCAGTAAAACTTCTGATGGTAGGTAAAAATAATCCATCGACTCCCCAATAGATGACCCTCCGTTGTCTCGTGAAATGAATGTTTTAGTCCCAGTACCCTCTGGTAATTTAACATAACTATGGAAAATCACCATTTATAGTGATTTTTCCCTTGACAAATGGTGATTTACCATAGTTATGTTAGTTTACCAGAGGGTATATGTTGCTTACTCGCCAATTGTAAACATATATTGTTGGTTATGACATGTATATACAATCTTCTAGCTGTAGTCCGTAAGTATGGTTCCGATACCAACACCCCAATGGTAATGTCTTATGATTGGAAACCCAGTATTGGAATAGTTATTGTTAGCCATCAACCTTTGCAAATTAAATTTAAGTGACAATATCCTCAACTATCAATTCCTTTCTTGGTAAAACTCTTCAATTTTGGTAGTTAGATACATGCAATTACAACTGAAAACGCACCACTATAATGGGTCTCAACTACCAACTATTGTATATAATCATCAGAATAGTAATTTGCGAGTAATTATCTTAGGTACCAGTAGTAGTGGCTTACCCAACAATGTATTAACCATGAGACACATTTATGCGATATAAATGTATAACATTATCGATAACCACTACAATGGGGATTAAACCGTCCTTTAACTACCACCAAAACATGTCCAAAACCATTAATCACAAGTCTTTTTCGCAGTTAAACCATATAATTGCCATATCATTGCCATATCATTACCATATCGTTACAAAATACTTATCATGTCATTACTGTATCATTACTGTACGGTCCACTGTCACTTCCCTGGAGGTCTTCTTCCGGGTCCGGAAGGGTGTCGAAGCGCGCGAAGGGGAAGCGGCCCCTTGGATCCCCTTGGTGCTTTCCTGGGACATTGGGGAAAGTGGTCCATTTATGGATGATTCATGGGAAAATATGGGATACCCTCTGGTAAACTAACATAACTATTGAAAATGGCCATTTATAGTGGATTTTCCCATTAAAAATGTTATTTTCCATAGTTATGTTAGTTTACCAGAGGGTATTCATGGGATATTCATGGGGATATGATGAAACAATGGGATATACCAACTCATTGGGGGTTCAAAAATAAAAGTGGTTGGTTCAAAATGTGGTTGATTTCAAGATAAATCATCTATGAATATCCCACTGGCATAAAATCGTGTGGGATTTACCTTAAATTATCTCATATCATTTTGATGGTGAAAAAAACACCATGAACATGGTGATTTTTGGGTTTATGATTGGGTAAACACCCCATTATTTCATGGTAACCAACCATGGTTAGCATGTGATTTCTGTGGCAACTAAGAAAAGGGGGTTCTTGTTTTTTGTATTTAATATTATTTAATCATGAAAAAGAACAAGCTATTGACCAACAAGCTAAATAGCCAATGTTGGGCATATACCAAAACTGGGTGTGTCCATCAAATCTGTGGGGGCAGACCATCTTGATGAAAACAGCAACAAACACTCGATGGTTGTTGGTAAGATCTCAATGGCTGTTTTCTGAATAAGATCATCTCATGGGTTTTTGCTAGACTGCTAGACCTCATTGGTTGCAAAAAAAAACAAGTTCAACTGTGGTTTTTTGAGGTTCATGGCGCCGAATGGCGCCGAATGTTGTAAACTTCAATGATGCACAACTGGTAAAGCGAATGATTTGTTCAACTACCAATTTAGTATCCCTGAATTGTTCATCCAATTTATGATATTTATGATATTTATGCTTCCTTCACCCAAGCCCACCTCATTGGTTGATACCTCCAGTTTTGATGGTGCCCATTGAAAAAACAATCTGCCGTCACTCAATTTTAACGTCACAATGAATCCAATCTGCTGAAGCCATTACAAGTAGTAATATGAAACACCGTTTTTGGAGGTGGTCTTTCAATGAATAGCCATTATTGTATACCAAACAGGTGGACATTTACCATTGGAACAACTTATGATATATATATATATATACACGTGTATATATGTATATAAATATGTTGATCGATATGACTTGGTATAACATGTATATTGTTGATATGTTTATAGATATCCACATGTCAATGGTAAATCTTGATAGACGATATGGGAAAAAGTGTAGATTGGACAATATGGTGGGTAGATATCCACTATTGAGAAGACATAGATTAAATTAAGGGTGAATATCTACTTGTACATAGTATATGCTTAGACATTTGATATTATCTTGATTAATTCACATTAGATACAATACATCATAATACATCTAACAATAGATAGATTACAAAAACCATTCATATCCCATCAGCATCCTAATCACATTCCCAATAGATATCCCATAAAATCTGATTAATCCCATTTTTATCCTTGATTACATTAACCATCATTACCCTCTGGTAATCTGTTACATAGCTATTGAAAATCACCATTTATAGTGGATTTTCCCGTTGAAAATGGTGATTTTCCATAGTTTTGTTAGCTTACCAGAGGGGAACCATTGATATCTATAGCCTGGATAGCCAGCAAGTCATCGATGGAGAGCAAAGCTCTGAGGTCTTTTTTCGTCTGGAGATTCGCCGACGGGGGCATGGGGAGTGGACCCCCTGTGCGGTGAACATCCATTATCATCAGCAGGCAGGGGTCATTAATGGGGGCCTTCATCCAATAGAAACACCGAAGGTTTAAGCCATAAACATCCATAAACCAATGAGGAATATTATTGAACAGATGACGTCGGTTCAATGTCTCTGAAGTTGGGATTGCCCTGTCAGGGGATGGAGATACCGGAAGAATCGGCTGAGCTACTGAAACCAGCTCAGCCACCGTCAGAGGCAACGAAGGAGCCAAAGACGTCGGATGAACGAAAGGATTCAGATGAAGCATCGAAATCGGAGCCGCAGAAAGCTGATGAAGCATCGAAATCGGAGTCTGATGAAGCAAAGAAGCCAGACGAAGCATCGAAATTGGAGTCTGATGAAGCAAAGAAGTCAGATGAAGCATCGAAATCGGAGGTCAAGAAGTCAGATGAGTCTTTGACCACAGAACCAATGAAAGCTGAGCCAAAGGAATCCGATGAACCACCACAACCAGCTGCAGCTGAAGCAGCTGAAGCTGAAGGAAAACAAAGCAACGCGAGAGAGTCACTTCCGCCACCAGAACCAGCTGAACCACCCAAGGTGCAAAGGTCGGCACACGATGCCTGGAGTTTGCTTGGTGATGTCCATTTAGAATCTATTTAACCATGGGTTTATCATGCTTTATCTACCAAGATGGGGGAGGATCTACTGGATATATCTTTTGATTTTTGGTCCTCAAATCAGGGATTTATTTTTGTACATACTTTTTTCCTGGTCTTATCATTGGGTTTGCAGATAGGGCACTTTCCCAAATTTTTCAGAGTTTTTGATCCACTCATTTTCCCATTGAAATGAGTCAATCCCATCAGACCCAGGATGGCAAGAAGTGGTGGGAAATTGATGACCCGCCAGTGAAGCCTTCGGTGCAACCCTCGGTGGCCCCTTCGGAACCGCCTTCGGAACAGCCCAAGGCACCAGCACGACGATGGGAAGCCGCGCGGAAGACCTACGGCAAGGGCGACCCAGATGTGGTGCTGTCGGTGGAGGGCAACAGGTTCGATAGGCTCAAAGGGAAGTCCAAAGGTGACAAAGGTGACAGAGGTGGAAAGGGGAAGGCTGAACGGAAGGGCGACAAGGGTAAAGGCAATAAAGGCGAAGCCCGTGGAAAAGGTAGAGATGGACGTGGCAAGGGTCAAAGTTCCAAAAGTCATCAACAAAGTCATCAACAAAGTCATCAACCTCCTCAACATCATCGCCCCAGTGGCTCAGCTCGCCCCATTTTTGGTCAGCCAAGTGGCTCTCTTCAACCGGAAACGGCAGACTTTGGATCCAAGGTGCACATCCACGTGCACGTGAACGGTCAGGAGATGCCTCGCTGTCCCACGCCCCGGGGATCCATTGCGCAACTGCTCCCGCAGGCGCCACCGGAGGCACCGGAGGCGCCGAGAGTGAGGATTCGCCCCACGGTGGCGCCAAAGAAGCTCGAGAAGAAGAAGAAGAGGAAAAATCGGAGAAACCAAAACAACTTTGAATCAAATTATTCAATGGATCAGATGGATCAGATGGATCAGATGGATCAGATGGAGATGGAGATGGAGATGGAACCAGAAATCGACGTGCGCAAATCGAAACTGCCTGGAACATCTGGCAGTGGGCCTTGGAATCCGAATGACACGCATCCATCCAGACCCAAGATCATCCCATCCCAAGCTCCAGCTTCAGCAGCTTCAGCTTCATCAGCTCCCGCTCCCGCGCGCAAAGTGACCAAAGTGTTACAGTCCCGTCCCAAGTGTATGCCCCGAAAACGACCTGATGAACGACCTGATGTCACTGATGTCATTCCTCCAGATTCCAAATCCTCCAGATTTTCAGCTCCGCTTCCGGTGGCTGGATGAGTTGGTCACATCGTTTTTTTTTTGCCAAAATTTGGATGTTTCCCATATTTTTTCCAAATGTTTCTGGTTATTCTCATCATCTTTTTCTATGACCCCAGGTGAAAAAGGAGGACGACGACTTCATCATGGTCCGGGTGGACAGCACGCCGCCGCCGCCGTCAACGTCAACAGCGACGTCGTCGTCGGCGTCGGACTTCGTCCTGGTGCAGGTGGAGATGGATGAACCGAAACAACTGCCACGACCCAAGGTGGAAGTGAAAGAGGAAGACTGGGATGAGGATTGGTGATGCCAGTGATATACGCCAGGAAGATCGCCAGGATGAGATGAGTTTTGAAGCGACATGCTGGGAATACTTGGATCGGGATGATGGAATTGGTCTGAAACTTTTTGGAATATTTTTCTGATTGGAAATGGTGGAACTTTTAAACCACAACGGTGCGTCTGCAAATTGGGTGATGAAAACCCCAGTGGTTGGCGGCGTGTTTCGACCCTGTGACCCGAAAAAAAAAGGAATCTCTATGGCCATGGCGAAACCGGTCCCAAAAATGGGTTTTTACATCTGGAAGACATCCAAGAATCGCCTCATCATCTGGTTTCCCTCAGTTTCCCCATGAAAAACATGAAAAACATGGCCATATTTTGTGCCATTTGAATGTTGCCGAGGGATTGCTGCTCTTTAACATCCTCGGACTTTCGGTGTGGTGTAACTTGGCAGGGACGGGGTGGATCAAGTATCAATGATTTTCGTAAACTAAAGCTCCATTTATGTTGGAAATTCCCATGGGTAAGGTTTGATACCCAAAGGGTAACTCTTTGAACATGTGGAAATGGCATGGCTCAGGGAACTTCAGTGGTTGTGCTCCCATTGCTGTCATAGCTGTCACTGTTCTGAATCCAATCTGGATCCCATATGTTTCATGGGAAATCAATGAGTAGAATTTCCATTAAACCAATCCATCGATTGAAAATCCCATGTTTTTTTTTTTAAATCTCCCCTCACTATTGAAGTGAACATGTAAAAACAATGTATATCATTATATATCCATTTATACAATGAACATAGATGTTTTTCCCCTCCAAATATGTAGGTTTGATACATTGCTTGTAAACATTCTTTCCAAGGATTCTATACATCACCAAAACGCATCAGCTTAAGATGCTGACGATTTACCTTTTGATAATGGTTGGTATTAATACATGCTGACCCAGAAAGCAACACCACTAGTTTTTTCGAAGGATACCTTCTGATATTATTTTGGATCAACATCTATGTTTTCCAAGTATATAACTACATATAACTACAATAGTTACACCAGTTTTCCCTTCATTTTCCCTCCAACAAAATGAATCACTCCCGGCCGCTTCCGATCAACTTCCTGAGGCCTGGGGACATCCACATGCGGATCGCGCCATTCGAGTGCTGGCGGATCAGGAGAGTGTTTTTTCCCCACCTGCCAGGTGAGGGTTGTTAGATTTTATGTCAGTTGCCTCCTCCTCCTCCTCCTTCTCCTCCTTCTCCTCCTCCTCCTCCGCCTCCTCCTGCCTCGTCCTCCTCTCCTCCTCCTCCTCGTCCTCTTCGTCGTCCTCGTCGTCCTCGTCGTCCTTGCTCAACTGCGACCCGCGATCCACAGTGTTCTCTGCCGGACCTCAACCACGACCATCCACGCCCAGTGTTCCCTGCCGGACCTCAACCACGACCATCCACGCCCAATGTTCCCTGCCGGACCTCAACCACGACCATCCTCGCCCAGTGTTCCCTGCCGGACCTCAACCACGACCATCCACGCCCAGTGTTCCCTGCCGGACCTCAACCGCGGGTATCCACGCCAAGTGTTCCCTGCCGGACCTCATGTAGGAAGATATGGGACAAAGAATGTGCAGAAGAAAGTTAGAAAGAATGTCAGAAAGAATGTCAGAAGATATGCCAGAAGATATGCCAGAAGATATGCCAGATAGAATGCCAGAAGATATGTCAGAATATATGCCAGAAGATATGCCAGATAGAATGCCAGATAGAATGCCAGAAGATTTGCCGGATAGAATGCCAGAAAATATGCCAGAAGATATGCCAGATAGATATGTCAGAAGATATGCCAGAAGATATGCCAGAAGATATGCCAGAAGATATGCCAGATAGAATGTCAAATAGAATGTCAGAAGATATGTCAGATAGAATGCCAGAAGATTTGCCAGTAAGAAAATGTATAAATGTCATGGTGGGGATCACACGAAGTAAAGTATTTTTTTTGTTTGGGGATTAGTTGACCAAATATGATTGGGGAATATCATAAATTTACCATTTGCTATATACTATTACGGGGAATATCAGTTTTTTTTTCATCTGGTATAATTTAAGACTTTGCTATGGAAGGTCAAGATTTTTAAGAACGGTAAACCGTGGTAAATCATCTATAAACCCTAGCTATGCAATTATTGCAAGAGGGTAGTCTTTCAGTTTCTTGAAGCTCAAAGTCTTTCAATCAACGCCTTGGGTTCCCACCGTTTCAAAGACGTTCTTGAAGACACCAAAGGTCTCTCCAAAAGCGAAGTTTTGAAGCGGTGGATGAGTGGATTAGTAAGGTGGATTATTAAGGTCAACAGACAAAACACTGGGATAGCACTAAGGTTAACCACGAATCATAGATCCCAATATTACTTGATATTGGTATCATCCCAGTAAACTATATCAGAAATCAGTAATAGTAATCAGGTCAACTAAAATCTTTATGACTGATTTCTATTGGTATCCTTAGAACCCAATATTTCTTGGTGACTAGATCCTTCCCAAGAGACCAAGTTTACCAATTTTGACTGGGAACAGCAGGACGTGCCCTTCTATCGTCTAGCGGTGCAACAGGCGCGAAGAGAGCTTCCAACTGGCTCTGGGTCAAGATTATGGAGAGATTCATCATTTCCCGACTAAAAATCATCATTTCAACCAGGTTTATTCTGGTTGGTGCTTTGGAACATTTTTATGACTTTCCATATATTGGGAATGTCATCATCCCAACTGACTTTCAGTCCATCATTTTTCAGAGGGGTAGGGCTCAACCACCAACCAGGTTATCCATTTTCATCCATTTTCATCCAAAAAAGACCTCAACCACTGGCCCAAGAATTCTCAGCATCAGCATCTGATGTTCCATCTCCATCTCCCATGATGTCCCTCTAAAAGGCTGAAACTTTGTACGGCCTGGTGGCGGCCAACCCAGTCTTCTTCAAGTGGTCCGATGACCCGGAGTCTGAGGTGCGACGAAAACCGACCTGCTGTTTTGAGGAGAAAACCTATGGGGAAAACCAGGGAATATCACGAAAAAACATCTTGAAATCCGACCTTATTTTCCTGATGTTGGTGATATGGTTTTTCTGGATATATAAAAACCATAGTTAACATATCAATTTAACGAATCTATCATATATCATATTTAAATGGATATATTCTTGATATGCCTTTGTTGGCGACAACGACAACGCCCCTACCAGGTGGCCACCTGGTTCGCCCAAGCCATGCGCAATTTCACCTTTGACCTCACGGTGGCCTTCATGGTGACCAGCTCAGTTAGTTTTTCCCTAGGGATTGATAGGATATGAATGGATAATGGATTGCCCTCCAGCAAGCCAACATAGCCATGGAAACTATGGCCCCCACTTATACATGAACTGCTTATCAAACATCGTCATTTTCCACAGCTATGTTACATAATCAAAGGGTAATGCATTAATGAATTAATGAGATTGACGGGATTTTTAGGGGAATATTTTATCTTTTGGATATCGTTTTTCAGCACTCCAAAAGACTGCGAACAACTGCCATGACTGCCATGATTTTCATCTTCATCTTTTTGAGGCAGTCATCGACAATCATGAGATACACTGGGTACATGTTGACCCAAAAAAACTGCTTGGTGACTGAAAATCATCTTAGATACACTGGGTATATGTGGGAACAGCGACGAAACAAAACATTGGATATTTACAACATCAAAGATACGGGATGCGACTGGATAATTGGGTATCGTGGCAGTCCCAAAATGAGGATATAGAAATTGATCTAACATTTTCTAGCATTTTTTTGGAAAATGAGACTTTGGGGCACCCCATTTTCGGAAAAAAAAACATTGCAATTGGATATCTCATGACATCTCGGATTTCATTGCTACAACCCAACAAGTTTTGGGTACATTGAAGGTACACATTGCGATTCTTTGATGGTCAACTCAAAATTGTGTGGTGCAATAGTGCAATCCCAGGGATTTTATCGCATTTTCCATCATTTTCCCCACATTTTGCTGCTTAACTCCCTATTTTTGTCGGATGGATACCTAATATTTGGATATATTTGGTGCTTCATCTCAAGGACTTTGCCAGTTCAATCCTCATTTTCCACTAATTTCCATCATTTTTCCATCATTTTCCATAATTTTCCATCATTTTCTCATCATTTTCCACTATCCTCCATCATTTTCCCATCATTTTCCATCATTTTCCATAATTTTCCATCATTTTCTCATCATTTTCCACTATCTTCCATCATTTTCCATCATTTTCCACTATCTTCCATCATTTTCCCATCATTTTCCATCATTTTCCATCATTTTCTCATCATTTTTCATTATTTTCCATCATTTTCCATCATTTTCCATTATTTTCCATCATTTTCCATCATTTTCCACTATCTTCCATCATTTTCCCATCATTTTCCATCATTTTCCATCATTTTCTCATCATTTTTCATTATTTTCCATCATTTTCCATAATTTTCCACTATCTTCCATCATTTTCCCATCATTTTCCATCATTTTCCATCATTTTCCATCATTTTCTCATCATTTTTCATTATTTTCCATAATTTTCCATCATTTTCTCATCATTTTTCATTATTTTCCATCATTTTCCATCATTTTCCACTATCTTCCATCATTTTCCCCACATTTTTGGTGGTTTTCGGTCAACTCCCCACATTTTTTGTCACCAGCCCGGCTGGCTTCGCCTCGCCAAGGTGTCTCTGTTCGCCTTAAGCTGTGCGGCCTACCGATTTTCGTGGATGGCGCCAGCGTTGGCCATGACGTGCCTGGGATTTCTGGAGGGTTATAGGTCCACCTAAATTAGTGGTTAAATGCTGGTTAATTGATGGTTAATTGATGGTTAATTGATGGTAATTATGATGGTAATTATGATGGTAATGATGATGGTAATTGATGGCTATTGGCAATTGGTTATAGTCCACCATCCCCCCCTTTAACCCATGCTTAATTGATGGTTCATTGATGGTTAATGAAGCTAATATATCCATATGGGAAACTCAATGGCTATTGATGGTTACCCTCTGGTAATTCGTTACAGTTTGCTATGGAAAATGACCCCATAGAAATAGTTGATTTACCCATAAATAGCATAGAAATAGTTGATTTACCCTCAATGGTTAGTGATGCTTAATGGGGATATCAAACCTTAATCTCTTGACATCCTGGAATCAGTCCTCTTTAGCCCAGGGACGAGCTGTTTGTGAGTGGCAAAAGCTACGGGACGGGGCAAGGTCCGTAACCGAAATCGCAGAGACATCGCAGTTCCGCCTTTGGGCCCGAAACCCGGAGCCAAAGCGAGCTTGATTGATTGGTGGTTTCTGGTGATTTCCTGGATTTTTTTTGAGTGAAAGATTCTTCAGGAAAAACTAAGGCCCAATTTTAACAGAACCTATGATGATTTCTATGATTCTTTGATGGTAATTGATGGTAATTGATGGGGTTAATTGATGGTAATTGGGTGATATGGGTTGATGATTTCTATGGGAGAAACTCTTTGAAGATGGGAAGTTTTTCAGCGACGAAGATCGGGGATTGAACGGATGATCCAACTTTTTGCGCCGCGCGTCAAAAGGGGATGGGAAGGTCAGGGCTGAAATGGCTACAGATCAGATCTATGGCTATCCACATGTAGATTGAAACACTTATATAAGTATCTATGAGAATCTCATGTACAATGTACATGACACACACACACATATATATATATACATAATTGTACATACATATGGTTCACAAAAAAATAGAAAAGTTAATCACCATCAAATCAAATGAGTATTTATTTCAGATCTCCAAAATTGGGACTGTAATTACCCAAGATGATCTAACACCATCAGATTTCCCTAATTCCTTGCCATCTTCCGATAAGAAAGGCTAGGATTCCTTGAAGGATTCCCCAAAAATCGAGGGATAATCAACCCTATTGGACCCCCAAAAAACCTCGGAAAATCATGAGCAACATGCGTTTTTTTCCATGGCATACCTCGGATACTTCCCAAATGATCCGAGAAAATCATCAAAGAGGTGGTTTTTCATCCACATCTACCATGGTTGCGGATGGGGGGGAAGTGATTCTTCCCCAATTTTGTGCGGATGACTGTAAATAGCCCATTAACCATCAAATATGCCATCCATAACCATGATTAACCGGCCTGGATTTTCGGATTCTCCTTGATTTTTCTTGATTTTCCTTGGCATCCGTTGCATCCGGTTGAGTGACCTGCCTGAGCAGGTGGTATCTATGCTTCCTCCTCTCTTCTTAGGTGCGCAGATGGTAACATTTTTTTTGGATTGACGGGGTCGGTTGATGTCCCCCAGATAATTTTTTTGGGGGCATATACCATGAACTTTAAGGTGGTATATATATTTATACATACTCTCTGGTAATTTAACATAGCTATTGAACATCACCATTTTTAATGGGAAAACTCACTATTTCAATGGCCATTTTCAATAGCAAACTGTTAAATTACCAGAGGGTATATATAAATATGGGATATCATGGGATACTTGGTAGGAAATCTCCATGTCTTTTTTTTTGAAACGAAAAGTTGGATGAATTTCCAGTGTGAAAAAGAAACACGTGGCTATAGGAGATCCCACAGCTCGAGTTGTGATGATTTTTTGGGGAGAATCACAGCTGGAAAAGTAACTGCTGGATCTAGTGGCAAGCCATGTGACTACCGGAGACTACCGGAGCTGGTGGTTTCTGGTCGAATGAAAGTGTGGTTTCTGGTGGTTTCACGAACAGCCAGGATTTGGAAAGAGGAGTTATGGAGCCTTTTTTTGGGATTTTTCACCATCGAAGGATAAAATCTACAAATTATGACCAGAAAACATGGTATTTCTGGGGGTATTTCTGGGGTGTTGGTATGTTGGTATGTTGCTGGTGCTTTTTTTGATGACTGTGACTGTTTCGGTATTTGGTTTCGGTATTTTGTTTCGGTGTGGGGTTTTTGGATATTTTGGTGATACTTTGTTGCGAACTTTCGCTTGGGATACCTTGATTCACTCAAGGGGCTTCTTGCTGTAGCAGGGAGAGTTCGTTCGTTCTGCCTCGGAGAGAGTGACTCCGGAGCTGATTCTGCCCGAGGCAACAACAATTTGTGCGTCATGGGCGGAAGCGACGAATGTGATCACTCCAAACGCTCCAAAGGACCTTGTGGCAAGTCTATGGCCGAGCTTACGGTAGAGATGCTGAATCACTGAACGATTCAAAGGAATGCAAATATATCGAAGTCAATGATGGCAGCAAGTGTTACAGCTGCAAAATGAAGGATGGCTCCAACGCACATGCCCGGTTCAAGAAAGATGCTTCGGGCAATCTAGAAGGTTGCTGAGTGAAAATGGGTAGTGGCGAAAAGAAGCACGCTTCTTCTAGTCCCGAAGAATGTGCTGAGGCTCAATTATTTTGTAACCCATAGGATCCATGTATGCCATATATGGTAACATTTACCATCAATATACCCCCTTTATGTTACCATATATACCAGCACCATGGATCCTATGGGTAAGATTCATGATTTTCTTTGTACACGCGGCGTTAGCTCTCCCGCATTTTCGCAGATTGCGGGGGCCTTAAATCGACTTTTCAGGCGCCTCTGATTTACCTCAAATTGCCTTTCCCTAAAGTCGGTGGGAAAATAACATCTGGTTGGTGGTGACTGGAACCGTGGAATTTTATGACTTTTCAGAAACAGTTGGGAATGGAATAATCATCATCCCAACTGTTACTCACTCAGTCCATCATTTTTCAGAGGGTAGTTGGCGAAAAACCACCAACCAGACAGGTTGGTTGCATCCCCAGTCGAACATGGACGGATTTCAGGGTCTTTTTTGAATAAAACTCCATTAAACATTATTCACCCCATTAACACGATGAATTTCCGATTAAGTACTATGACATTCCCATTAATTCTATTCAAATCCCATTTTCTACACAACTCAGCACATTTATGCACATTTAAAATCCAATTTTTCACAATTGAAAATCCATTTTACATGATTTCGCCGATGGAGGTGTCGAGCCCCACCACACGGTGTTGGACCTTTGCGCGGCGAATCCACCATGTTTGCGGGGAAATTTTCAATGGGATTTCAAGGGGTAACCACGATTTTTACATTCCATTTAAATGATCTATAGTTTTTCTCAGTTTTTCTTAGTTTTTGTTAGTTTTTGTTAGTTTTTCTTAGTTTTTGTCAGTTTTTCTTAGGTTTTGTCAGTTTTTCTCAGTTTTTGTTTCATGTGGAAAAGATGATGGGAAACATACAATGGTTTAAACATTGGATATTCATGGGATATGTTTAATGGGTAACAATGGATCTTGAATGTTTTTTTTGATGGTAGATATACAAATTGAAGATCCGTATTGTTTTTTTTTCTGCATGAAATCCTCAGCTACATGGCCAGGCGCCTGGCTCTAAGACCTTCCAAATGCTGGAGGTGGGGCGTGGAGTTGTGGAAAAAATGGAGCAGGGTCAGCAGACCCAACAGTCAGAATGCATGTCAGAATAAATGTCAGAATATATATATATACTAGAAATATATGCCAGGATGTGTATATATATATATATATTATATATGTATACACCCGAAAATATGCCAGAATATATGTCAGACAGAACCTGTCAGAATGTATGATTAGTGTCAGAGTCCATTTTTGAGCCATTGCTAAAGAACCACCACGGAACCAGCTTGCCAAGATCTGCCACAAAATCATCAACTTTTTATCCATCTTTTTGTTGGGTCTGCTGACCCTGCTCCTAAGAAAAGTCAAGTATACTGTGCATGTATATCATATATATATATGTATATATATGTATCTATATGTATGTGTAAATGGTACTATCCAATCTAAATCTAAATCTAAATCTAATTCTAATCTAAATCTAATCTACTTGAATGGAATTCTCATCGAATCTATATTCAATCCGTTTGTGTCGGAGGCAAACAGCCCATCTCTCAGCAGGTCATGCACTGGCCACAAGCGGAACAAGGACGTCCTCCCAACGGCTTCGTGCGGACCTCAAGGTGACTCAATGTGACTCAATGGAACAGTGGTTCCATCAGAGGCAAGTTATACCCTGGTTAAAAATGGTGAAAAATGGTGAAAAATGGTGAAAAAAATGTGAAAAAATGGTGAAAAATGGTGATATTTATGGGACTTTTACTAGCTAATTTATTGATATTTACTGGACATGGTAAAAAGCTAGTGGTGAAAAATGGTTAAAAATAGGAACTACTGAGAAACTACCTATAATTTATTGGAAATTATTTTACTACCTATAATTTATTGGAAATTATAAGCCATAGAGAAAGCTACCAACCAACATAATCAGATGGGAACTTGTCCTTGGATGAGTCGACATTATGATGGATGCTCATGGTTAACCATACGTGCACAATCGGAAAACATGCTGCTCGAGCGGGTTTTTTCCCCAAAGGAGTGTAATTGCACCACTGTTGACATTTTTCCACTTTGTGCGTTTTCAAGCGAAAATTCAAAGCGCATTTTCGAGCGGTTTTATACCTGGAAAAAAACGTCGATGCCCGTCCGTCAGGGCACAAATGCACATTTTTCAGTCAAGTGATCATAAAAAGCCAGAATGAGCACAAATCCGGCCAAAAAGTGTTGGAGCAGAAAAAAGGGCCATCTCAAGATCCAGGTAGGTACCACATGATGCGATTTCTAGGCATCCGGCTGGCTTGGCAATAGGAACAGCTTTCAAGAGCCTGCAACATTCTTGCGAAAAACACCGCAACTCCAGAAAACCAGAGGATATACTCTTGATCGAACATCCAATATTTACATACAACCATCCAGTAGTTACATACGATCATCCAAAGTTGACACGCAAACATCCACTGAATTGAACATCTTTCAATAGTTGCAAAAACAACATCCCATTGATCTTTCAACCATATTTAAACCATCTCATTAATAATCAATCATCCAATGAATCCATGACCCTCTGGTTATTTGACATAACAATGGAAAGATCCATCATTTATCGAGCTAAATGGGCCATGGCGGCCATGGTTTCCATCAAACTCTAAGATCACCAGGCCGGGTAAACCATCATATATATATCCTAATAAATCCCATGGAAAATCCCCTGAAAATCCATGGATTTCCCCCCATTGATAGTTGATGAAATCCATTTGGCATCATTTTTTTCACCACGGCGACCCGGCGACCCGGCGACCCATCCAAGATCTTGGCGAACGAACTTCAATGGCGACGTGCCAACATGTTGGCGCATCAGGTGGGAAGCCATGCCATGAAGTTGGTTAATCTAGATAAAAACCATGGTATAATCATGGTGAGGTGGTTCGGTGGTTGGCATCCAAAACAAACCCATTGGCTATACCATTGAACATTGCTAGCTGAGGTGGTATACCAATAGTTTTTTTTTTTAAAAAATATATATATTGTATATGGTATACCCATGTTTTTTTTTTGGGGGAAATTGTATATGGTATACCAATGGTTCTTTCCCTATGTGGTAGGTGGTATACCAATGATCAAGAAATTGGTGAGATCATCGTTCCACAAGGACTATACAAAGGAGGTGACGCCTAGGCCCCAAAAAGTTGCACAGTTTGGGTTTTGCCCAATGGTACCGATTTTTTTTAAATGTTTTAATATGTTTTAATATGTTTAAATATGTTTTGATATCGGCAAACTGATGATCAACCATTGATTTTTAAACCATTGAATGGTTTGGTTGTTGGTTTTAGGGACATACCAAATGGAGTATGATCAATCAACTTTCAGACAAACCCATATCGACCTACTCTTTGGTGATCACAAACGACCACCTTGACGTGTTGACGATTAGTCGAACAAGGTGACAATTTGTTTTCTGGTGGTCAAACAAAAGCCTGAAACCTTTGGATTTTCACATTTAGAACGCAAAACGCCATGTTTGTTTTTGAACATGAACCAGCATTCTGGAATTAACAACTGTTTCCAGCTTTGTTCAAAACAAATTTTGGATTTTCATTTTCCCTCCCCAGTTTCGGTAAAAAACGCCCGGCACTTGCGACCCGAATTTTGCCCAGGTGGGTCGATTGGGATCTCCTTGCATGGTGGTGGTCGCAGCCTTGGTTTCTTCCATCAGTTCCTTCTCATTCCAATGTTTTGGCATACCATATCGATATCTTTTTGGGTGTACTACAAGTAATTGTATATACATATATAATTATCTATATATATATATTATATATATTTAAAACCAATGTACTCTTATTATATAATATTCGTTCGAAACGGTTTGGTATTTTCATAAGATACGAAGAAAACCGCCTCAAAAAATCTGGCCGAAACTTCAGCTTCGGCTGGTCAATCTATTTGAGCCATGGAAAATAACCATTTTTCACAGGATAATTTGAGTAACTCATCCATAAATGGCCCATTTTCCATAGGGTAACATCCCCAAGTACAGTCGTACCGTCACCATCAACCACAACTGGTTGGTGGTGACTGGAACCATGGAATTTGGATTGACTTTCCAGAAACAGTTGGGAATGGAATGTCATCATCCCAACTGACGAAGTCCATCATTTTTCAGAGGGGTATAGTCAGTGACGGGTAGTAAGAAGAGATTTGACTGCTTACTGCACTCGCTCGAGGGCCAAATCCGGCAAATAAGAAATGCATATATATGAGGCATCCAGAAAAGGACCCCCAGTAAGCAGAAACTCACAACTTGTTCGTTCATGGTCGATTTGAGTCTGCTTACTGCACCTGCCATTCTGATGACCGCCTCTTCCAGGCTCAAAACAAAAGAAAATCCAAAGTTTCAGCTTAAGTTATTTTTGTATATGCTTGTGTCCTTTCTGCCTGCTTTACTTGCAAGCCTGCTACTATGCCATGTGGGCCAGCAGTTCAAAATCCAGCCAGCCACATGAAAATGACCAAGCTGCAGTAAAGTTATTTTAATGTTGGATCTGGGCTAATCACCTCCCCCTCCACCACTACAGCAAACAATCATGTTAACTTCACCGGTTATGTGGTTTTTCCTCCCCTACAGAGTGTCGCCCCCCAACCAGTCTGTAGAACTTGTGGAAGATAAATATTGTTTAATTACATTTATTGTTTAATTATATTGAGTTCTGTTTTCTAGCAGGAGCAGTGTTTCAGTATTTGGTCAGATTGTGGGAGGACGCAGGGTGTGGGGGGGGAACCCTTTGTGACCTTCTAAAA